GATGCTGCTATTGATGAGCTAGCAACACTGAAGTTCTGGACCGACCGGGCGACAGCTGATGCGGAAATCAAGAGATATGTAAGCGCTAAGAAACTAGGTACAGGAAGCATGAAATGCTGATTCATAACAGGTCACCAGATTCGCCACACGTACTAGAGTTCAATGGAAGAGAGAAATGGAATCGACAGGTTGAGATTTGACAATCATTAAGTTGCATGGGATACGGTTATCGGAATATGAGGACATTTTGCACATTCTATGGACAGGTGAATCTGGTTACAATATTAGGGGTAACAAAAATGGAAATAGTTGCAGCAATATCGTGCTAGTTATGAAGTAATGAAAATGGCAATCTGCTTTTAGATAGTCTCATCTGTGACTATTGAGATCGCCGAATAGCTTGAGCTACAAATAGTTTGATATTCAAAGCCGAGCAAGAGATAAGTACGCTGGTCTTAAAAGCAGTTTTGTTATCTTTTGATCTAGACTTGTATTTGCGTTTGAGACGGTGCATAGTGACTTGAGAATAAACCTTGCTGGAATGAACACCGAAAAGAAATTGAGAGTAGAGAATGGACTACCAGATCTTCCATCAGTCTGTATATGGGGGGAGGGGTTCTGTCTCCATTAGGGCATGGTATATTAGAAATTATCAACACCAATACTTACTTGATTGAAGTGAAGTAACTTTCGCAGAAAATACGAGGAATAGTATCGGGGTGCATCTCGCTACCCCGAATGACCTGTGAATACTCTCTCCTTCTAGCTCTTGAACTTGACGGTAGTAGATATATCGGTTTCCGCTTCAAAATCGGGAGTGTAGCATACTCGAACGAGTCGACGGTCTAGGTATGTTTTCATCGCATTACACATTATAGATATGAAAAGTATGCCAATTGCACAAGAACTTGGATACGATCAAACACATGCGTATAGCGTGAATGTATACTTGCATCTTGTATATTTTATCAAAATGCTATATCTGATTGGGATCTACATGTACTCCGCTCTGTCAATACTTGAAGCAGTTCCGTGCTTGGGTATAGTTCCATAGAAGTCCTATCGTACCATCCAAGCTAGTATAGAGGTATGAGTGCCATCTAAGGATATCGTGGGTTCTGTGGCTGACCTAGGAGTACCTTCTCTGTTGTAAGTCTTACTTGGTATCTTGAGTCAATCGTCAACCCAAATCTCATTTAGGAGAAATGCTTTCCACCCTGCTCAGTGGTCATAAATCGTCTAAGCCCTCTCGATTCCATTCCCAAAGCCCCCTCATCAGGATATCACATCTCACTTCCCACCCTGCACCAATCCCAAATAAACATTCCAGCCGATCCCCGCCAAACTCCCTAGCAAAGCCCGGCCCTGGACACTCTTGATCACGGCAAAATTGCTCAGACTAACAAATGGCCATAGCTTCCATCCCGCTTTCATCATACCCCAGTATTCGGATTCTGCAGACTGGATAGCTTGTGGAAGAGTGGCTCCGCGGAAGAGGGAAAAGGTTATGAGGAATAGCATTACGTTGAGGACTGCGAGGAGGGTTTGATCGATGAGCACTTTTAGAATGGTATTGGTGACCGAAAGAGCTGGTTTGGACTGTGCGGCTTTCTTTTCAGAGACATCTCGTGGGGAAGATTGTTTCTTGGAGGGGAGAAGAGATTCGAGGAGGGATTGTCTGGAAGGCGTATTGTCAGTAACCGTGGTGTATTTTTAGGGTGAGATGAGCTGCTCGCGATGGATGGAACTCACAAGTAGAAATTTGGCGGAGCGCTCAGCGCACCGTATAAGACGAAGTGAATTACCGGTGTCCAGTTTATCGTGAAATCGGTCTGTATACTTGTTAGTTTGTGGTCTAATAAGGTGTAATATAAAGATATGGAGGGGTCATACATTGTTCTGGTATGCCGAGATAAATTGTGCGATAATATTGCTGATCCCCGATAAGACACAGGATTGAACTGTGGTATTTACGACGGCTGAAGGCATCTTCGATTTCGTCTCGCTGGTATGTGATTGAGATGTGGCAGGAAGTTGGAAATCTTTTCCTCGATATTAATTGTTTTGATGTTCAGCTCTAGTAACCTGGTGGCGTATTGTGTCGCGTTGTAACCTGCTTGCTTGGTGGGGTGTTTTCTTCCGACTACTACCACAATCATTTCCCAATGTCAACAGATTTCAAAGTGTTGAGTCTATGATTTCGATTTCTTGAGTCTGTGATCTCGAATCATCGACTGTCTTACCATCTTACAGCGACAAGCCAGAGCATTGTACGCTTTTTAATGATAGAAGGCGGAGGGGAAGGAAGGTCGTCGAGACCTCAGAACTTGACATAAGATCTACTATTGCCGCAATGATCATGGCGACATGATTGTCCTGAGAATATCATGGTGTTAATGAATTACCAAGTGGCTTCGTTATACATTGAAAGACCTTGAAGAAAAGGTGGCTCCTATTGAAGCTGGTTATGGAGTCGAGAATATACAATGATTGATGTGGTCATGTCGTACAGCAGTTGATTCATAGAGTTATGCAACGAGAAACGGTCTTTGCATAATATTTATGCAAAGATTCAAATGCAGATGTCGTTGAAGGTTAGACTACGACAATCATTCTTCTTGAAACAGCTTTTTATTTTTATGTTATATGTATTTGAGCTGTAGTGAGAGGTTGAATTCCTTACCCTCATTGAAAGTTACCATTGCTCAGCCAGGCACTACGCAGAATACGTTCCCTCACTACACTACGAAGACCGCTTACTGAAGAACAAGACTACCTCAAGCGAATCTTTCAAGTACACTTCCAATGAATCCTTCAGGATTACTTTTGTTTCCTTCAAAAAGGTTATCCTAGTTGAGAGTAATGTGTAACGAATGTCACATATCTATGTGACTACTCATCCCGCTAACCCTAGTTCAAGACTAACGTGAACTACCTAGGTAAGCAACCTTTTAGTATATAAAAGATGGAAACATTCTTCAAGGATCTCTAATAACGTCCTGTCAAAACAGTTACGAACTATCAACCCAAATTCCAGAATACATATTACAGCACCACTATTTTAAGATTTCAAACCCAGACAACTACGAATACCTACAATAGATGATTTTCGACAGAGGATCGTGAGTGGAGAGGGATGTTTTGCTACAATATTCGAGAGGAAATACTACAAGAAAGCGGATATCTTTGTCAGAAGAAGCCTACGATAATCAGAGTATCGAATATACCGTGGCCTGCATATACCCAAACTCGGAAAAGAGAGATTGAGGAACGAGGCGGCGTCTGTGGAATTTATTCAGAAATTCACAAATATTCCCGTTCTGTGATTGTGTGATCATGTGGAATATAACGGCGCCTAGTATATTGTTTTGGAATACGTGGAGGGCGTGAACATGGCCGATCTGAATAAAGCTCAAAGGGAGGTGGTGAAGAGGGAGATTGAGACTCATCTTGCAACAATGCACAATTTAACATCGAGCAAAATCGGCGGACTATCGGATACTATCATCTCTCCTTGTCGTATGCTGAGAAAGACAGATGACCAGATGTGGAACCCACCAACCAAAGACGATGCATATGTTTTCTGCCACATGGATCTCTCACAGCAAAACATCATCGTGGACCCAGTGACCTTGAAAATCAAGGCTATTATCGATTTCGAATACTCGGGCGTTTGGCCTATACAATTTGAGCTCCGTTTTTATACAAGACTTGGCCCTTCAGTCGCTCACGAAGGAGAGATTGACAATAGAAATGAGCTACTAAAATTCCTCACAGTCAGTTCTTGTTGCTTCCTGATAAAACAAACCAGCTAATTGCGTTTATAGTCCGGGTCCTGAGTAGAATTTGCAATGACTTGATAAAGTCACGCGAATGCCACATTCACCATAACATAATGATAGGTAGAATATTGTTTGTCCAATTATTTATAATGAATACACGTCCATTAATTCTTAATGTTCAAATTCTCCATGTCTGACTAACCTTTCACTACTCCTAAGCTGAGGAAACGTTTGAGACCTCCCGACTGCCATGACATGAAGAGCTGCTCTAATCGGTATCCAGTCCTCGATCTGTTTCTAGGAAGACAGTATACCATACTCGGTCGAAGAGGGTCTATGGCTCAATGGCCCTTGCCGCATGAAGGACATGGGGATCGCGAGCTCGAGATATCTGTGCCTGCAATTTACAAATTTAGATGATATGATGGATTGCTTAACGCCAAAAACTTTGTAGTTTGACGAGAGAGAGATGAGAGAAAGCCTCATACTGATTGTAATACCGAACGAGAAACTATCTTTCTATATCTCTGGAACCATTCTATCAGGGTGCCTAGCTTGCTTGACGAAGGCGCCACGTTGCTCTATTAGCGAAATGTTTGATAACTGACACTTTATTCCTCTCTTGCTCATTTCGGCTAAACTAGAGAAGTGGCCCACATGGATGTCTCTAATTATGCATTAACTGAATAGTCTAGCTGACCATAACAAGTATCGCAATTGAACTGTCAGCGTATCAGTTATATTTTGTAAATGCGGCTTTCACACTGTCATACAATAGGTACAAGAATAGCACTTGATAACGGGAATTCTTCATACATGACAATACTGGCTGATGATTGGCCGGCAATAATTAAAAAAGAACCAAGGGCAAATTTAAATGCCATTAATAGAGTAATCGATAATTTTGCCAAAATACGTATTCTCTGACCACAAGTTATAACCTCAGTCCAACCAATAAAACAATGAATCTCGTTTTGCGAGAATTCCGAACTAAATACAAACCATTCTTCGCAACTATCGCTTGTCCTGCCATAGCGGTGCCCCAAACTCTCCGTACAAACTGCTATTTTCCTTTGATTTGAATAGCTCGTTTTCCCATTATTCGACCTTCGCATACAATTTCTCAGAATTGCGCTTGTGATAAAGCATAAATCTTTGTAGTTCTATAGAACTAAATGTTCATGCCCTTTGTACCTTCCTGGTAGATTTCGTGGCGTATTATTCCAACCTCATAGTATCAGAATGTGGCTGCTTTTCCGCAGTCCAAGTAAGCTGAGATTTGGAACACTGTCGTGGCAGAAACATAGTTTGAAACAGCTGTTTGATCTCAACAATGCGAGGATTTCCAAACTCAGTCTGAAAAGCGATGCTTCCAGGTCGAAGAAGAGCCTCATCCAATTGTTCAGGTTTATTGGTGGTCACAATTAGTACGTTCTCTTCTTCTTCTTCTTCTTCTTCTTCTTCTTCTTCTTCTTCTTCTTCTTCTTCTTCTTCTTCTTCTTCTTCTTCTTCTTCTTCTTCTTCTTCTTTTTCTTCTTCTTCCAATCTATAACTTGAGAGTTCTCGTTTCGAATAAGTTCAGCTGAGTCAATACTTTCGAGAAGAAGAATCATTCAACGAAAAGAAAGAGTTTTGAAGATCAATTCCAAATTTTCCTCGCCCATATCAGAAAACATTAGGCTAACAACATAGATACCAAGACCGAATAAATACACCAGCAATTGCAAAAGCAAGGTAATTTCCCCCGGTCCCAGGTGGCCCTTGAAATAGATACCCTCGCCGACATGGAATTCCACGATCCGCATACCAAATTTGAGGAATAGAATCTAACTAATTCTTGATATCCATCACAATTTCCTTTTTCTTCTGCTCATCAGGACCATTGTACGAATGGGCTTGCAAGTTCAAGAAGCGACTACAGTCCAACTACTCCAACCTCCCTGACGGCTTTGATCTAGTACAGAGGGAGGCCAAATAGTAGTTCTGTTTTGTTGTTCAAAGGGTATGACATTTAAAACTTTCACTCAAAACTAGCTTCAAAGCTCATTTGTACTCATTTTCTGAATAAATATTGAGTGAGCTGATTTAGATAAAGTAGTATTGCAGATCGAATCCTATTGTATATTACGATCGCTTATATACATATTCGCGTGTGTATGTCACGGTGTGGATACACGTGACCGATAAGCGATAAGCTAGGCCCTGTTAGGCTAGCTTACAAGTGAAAACTCTGTATATCTTTACGTTGAAAGATCCTGTATCGTAGCTCTTTGAGCTATGTTTTAATCTACACCCTGTACCTACTGTTCATAGCACCGTCGAATATAGATTCCTGATCCCGCCTGCCTGCCCCGTGACAGTGTATAAGACTATAATTATATAATTAGTATGTATATATATATATATTATAAGCGCTAGGCTCTTGATTTTATAGCTATATATTCTAATAATAAATCATACCTTACTCTTATAGTCCTTACAAAATAAAGTACTATTAATTCTAATTTATAAAAGATTATTATTATTCTTCTTAATATCTAATTCTTTTCTTCTATAGAATAATTGTAACAAACCCAACAAGCATTTAAAAATCAACCTTAGAATTAAAAGCTACAAAGCTAAAAAGAATACACTACAAAACTATATATACCATTAGCTCAAAGCTTAATATTGTACTAGCCTAATCAGATATAATTATGTATATAACGTAACACTACCCCCTCCTTCTAAAAAATTCGTTTCGAATTTGCCTTCAATAAATGATTTAAATACAAAACATAATCACTAATCTTCTTCCTTATTATTAATATTACCATTTTCTTCATTATTTTTATATAAAAATCTTTAAAATACTAAATATATAATAGCTAAATAAAAAGTGTTTTGAGAATTATCTATCTTTTCTAAACAATCTTCAAAATATTGATTATTAATAATCTCTTTTAGATCTTTATCTTTATTTTTATTGTATTCGAAATCAATAAAGGTAATTGTAATAATTAGAATAAATTCTTTTCAATTTCGAATGTTTTGATATAGATTAATGTAAAAGAGTAGAAGGTGATAGGATCGTAAAGTAGTCCTTCGTAAATACTACAAATAAGTCACTAAGACGTAGCGCCTCCGGCAGAGGAGAGGAGGAGTAGGTTCTACATAGCGTATTACAAAACATACAAGAAGGTAGGTAGGAACTGACTGCTTTCTCTAAACTATACAAAGAAGACCTATAAATACTAGCTACAGAAAGAGGTCACGTGACCAGTACCAAGTTTCGCTCACATCAAGTGGATAGGATTGTACCTAATGGAAAGCATTTTTATATTGAATATACTTGTTTTGCTTAAATAAAAAAGTTCTTTTAATAAAAAAAAACTTAAGCATACAAAAACAGAATAGAATTGGAATAGAATTGATTTGAATATTAAAAAAACCAAAAATATTAATAATATTAAAATTATTAATATTTATTAAATTGTAATTGCAAAAGTAAAATGGATTCTGTAATATATATAGAGTTCTAGGTTTACTAAAATAGAATAATACAGGGAATCCATTTACTATATACACAACTAATTGTTATATAATCTGAATAAAGTCGGAATAAAAGTAGGGTAAAGAAAGTTATTGGAAAAAACGATTTCTAAGAATTGTATTGAATCTATTATAGAAGATTAAAATCTTATTCAAATTGAATTAATTCTATCTTTTAGTTTTATAAAAAATCCTTTCAAATTTTGTAATAAAGATATATAGAGAATTGATTTTTTATTTAAAATTGAATAATCTATTTTCAGCTTTCTAAACTTTATTCAAATTGTTATAAATATATATAAATTGATTTAGGATTGTTATATAATTTAATAAAATGTTTTGATTAAAAGAAAAAAGCTAAAATAAAACCATAGCTTATATATAAAATTCGAAATTGAAATAAATATAATAAAATTGAATTATAGAATTACCAATTATAATACTGTTTACCTATAATTTCGCTTAAATTGAAAATAACCACATATCAAATTTCTAAAAATTATTACTAAACTTTTCCAAATTAGAAAAAAAGAGTTTCGGTTAAAAAGACATATACGATACAGAAATACAATTAAAGATTAGAAAATGTAAAAAGGAGATTTCATTATACTATCAAATTACTTCACTATAAAGCTCCTCAATTGTATATAAGATTGCATCAACCTTTATAGTTTAAGAATTTAAGAATAAAAAAAAAACAATATCTTCAAATAATATCAAGAAAATCCATATACAAACAAAAAAGTTGAAATGATATATTTAGATAAAAAGTAAATAGAATATACATAAAAGCTTTATTTATAAACATATACTAATATTATTCCATTTCTTATCTAAAAAAGCTTTTAATAATATAACAAATCTAACAAATATTTAAAAATCAACCTTAAAATTAAAAGCTATAAAGTTAAAAAAAATACACTACAAAACTATATATATAATCAGCTTGAAGTTTAATACCATATTAGCCCAATCAAATGTAATCACATATATAGCGTGACAATAATAGAATAATAGAATAATAGAATAATAGAATAATAGAATAATAGAATAATAGAATAATAGAATAATAGAATAATAGAATAATAGAATAATAGAATAATAGAATAATAGAATAATAGAACAATAGAATAATAGAATAATAGAATAATGATTCGATGAAAATATTAATTGGATGAGATAAATAATCTAATCATTATTATCTAAAATCGTTGTGAGCAAAAATTTCCGCATGACACGCTATAACTACCGTCATTCAAATGATTGTCTCAATCCTAAAAATGTTGCTTGCCAGCTGTTTTATGGCGGTGCCCCTTATCGTTCAGCCGTTGCCTATATATCCTGAAACCTCTTCCGTTGCTGTCAATGGCACCTCTCTCAAACCGCGACTAATTCGACAATTCAGAATCAATGACTGTAATCTAGAGCACACTGACGCGATCAATACCGCAATAGCAGAAATTCCGCAAGTTGTAAGTTATTCGGATTATGTGAGACGATACAGCCTTTCTGACCAATGAAATATTAGCTTGCGCGAACTATAGTAAGACTCGAGGACCTTATCTTTCAACTTGAGTCTCCACGCTTCGACATTTCCGAAGATCTTGATGATACTGATTATTCTACACTTGATACCTTTGGTGTTCTTTACGTCAGATTGCTCTTAACTGACAGGAAAGTTGGGTCAACAAAGCGTGAGGAAGAGCCAACCGCTGTTGACATCTTGAATGATTATCTAGGTGAGTAGGAAAAACCTTGTGGATTATTCCATGAGATCATCACTCGCTTACCTACTGCTTTTTAGATTTTGCCAGCCTCATGTACAATGCAGTGGTAAACATAGCCACCCAAAATCTAGATGTTACTTGCAACAATGATTGGGCAAATGAGAAAAATGACGATGATGAGGACTACGGGAATGCAACTGGCAATGATGGAAGTAAGTCGCCAATCTTTCTCCCAGCCATTTAAATCCATAGATTTGAAACATCACATTCTTCTCATGTTTTTCATAGTCAACAACATGACATAAGTCAGTTGACTTGCTAACAAGACATAGCTGATTACTATTATGACAAATCTGATAATAACTTTGGATGGATTCAAATCAAAGAAGTTTGTCAGAAACATCCCACCCTTGAAGGATTCACCTTTAGCATTTCTTCCAACTTAATGGTCAAGAACCAAAATACCCTCGCCAGTATCATCGCTATATGCCCTCTGGCGACTAGTCGTGCCCGATTTAAGACTACACTTGCCTCTATTAAAGACAAAACTCTTACCAAATCAGATTCTCTCGAAGGTCTTACCTCACAAACAGCAACATTTTTACTTCTTCACGAGTTTTCGCATGCCTTGTCCCTAGTTGGTGGTTATAAAAAAGGTGTGTATTTATATGCTCCGTTTGTACCAGTGGTTAATTCCATTTAGGTGATAATGCATACTCGTGGAGTAAGTGTCTAGAGTTAGCCGATCAAGGCCCAGTGGAAGCGGCAATTTGGAACGCTGGTATGATAATCTCAAGAGAGCTCTTCTGTACTCTGCCCTAAAAATCATTTACAAGAATACTGACTATTTCTGAGTACCAGACAGCTTTGCTTTTTTTGCTACTGCCATGTTTCTAGACACCTACACGTGGTATACCGGGCAAGCATTGCCAAAATATGATCATACGGAATTAGAGCAGCGTAGATTCTAATTCAGCAAAAGAAACTCTAGCTACCGTTTTATTTATTACTGTCCGTAGAGTAGTACTTTCGATACCTAGGCATAGTTGCTTACATGTAAAGATTATTCTACATGGAAGAAAAGAATAACACATCAATCCACGACTAATTTCGCCAGTGAATTAGACTGTGAATTCCAAATATTATCTTGATGTAGATATAAATCGAATTCAAGGATTTTAGGTTTCCAAATTACTCTCATTTAAGATTTAAAAAAAACTGAAAAGCTTATGGTGAATTTGTATGGAAATTAAATACAAATATAAACTTCATTGAGATTTTCAATAATCTTCTAAGAAGAGTTGTCAAAAATAAATCAACTCCATCATACATAGATTTTAGAAAAGACATGCAATACACTTGATAAAATTGAAGATTCATTCTCTACATGTTTTTTCCCGATGAAAATAACGATTCTTGTCGGTAATATCACCGACTGCCAGTTGTTGACCACATCATTGGCATCGGTGCCTTTGAAGCTTCATAACAATCCCCGATCATGTCGAAAACCTTTGAATCGACTAGCTCAATGTCTTCGCAGAGCATTCGCAATTTGTCAACTTTATGACCCAGTTCTTCGTAATTTCCGCACTGACTAGCATAGTCCGTATACCACTCCTGCATTGCCTCTAGGGACCTCCACATTGTTATTGCGCTAAAATGCGACTTCTTTGGAATATGGGTTTCCTCGGCCTCAGCACTCAAAGAGGGAGTTGCTGGTGGGTACTCGTGAAAAAAATGATTTACATGTCGACCGGCTGAATTGATTGGAAGAGAACCATTAGCTGGAAGAGAAGCAGCATCTGGTGGGTTTTCGCGAAGCAACCTCACCCACGTTTGTTCCTGGCCCATGTTACCTCTATTGGTCAAATGGTTAGCTATTCAGTCTGAATATAAGAATTTGTATGAGACAGTTGAGAATCTGACGAGGGAGATAGTGAATAGAAAGCTTACGTTGTGAATAACTCATAAGATCTTTGAAAGAAGGCCTGCGTTCGTGGATCGTTCGATACTTCAAACCTCGTGACTTCCATTATGGGAAACCCTTTTCTGCGGGGGTTTGAGAGATAAGGAAACCCGACTTTGAAGGTTTTGGAATCCTTTGTAACAGCGGCAGTTAGAAAGACAAAATCTTTTACAAGATCTTGAACAATCTTCGTCTCCGAAGTGATGTCGACGGGGTCAGGACCTTCTTTGTAGGGATCTTTGCTTTTATTCCAATCTATTTAGCTTCCAAGTCAGCTGGTATATCTTTAGATAGTAGATCAAGTTAAGAGGGGCAAACTAACCTATCATCAAAATCCACTCATCCGGATCATGTACAGATCGGCCCCAATAGAGAGGAGCACGGTATCCAACATAAATATCGATCTCTTTTCTGAGTTGTAAGATTCTCTCTGAAATAGTCTTTTTAGCATGATTTACTCCGGGTTCAAATCTCAGCCATAGAAGTTCTGTATCTGGGCAATGATCTAGTTTATTTGGCAAACCATTTCCTGGACTGGAACGCATATTTGTATGAAAATCTCCCATCTTCAAATAGCCTCCGCTCGGCCCAGGAAATTGACGTCTACCCACTGCTGCATCGTAAATTGATTCGGTGTGCTTGTCTTTGTAGCTCGTCCCAGAAGATGTCTCGCTATGAATTCGCAAAGGGGAAACCCGCAGCAATGAAGCCAGGCAGTCAACATTGAATTGAGGCTTGGTATTGACGTATTGCTTGTCCTTTTTTATTTTGAATTTTCTTTGGGCCGACTCGGAAAGCAAGAACTCATTCATTGCAATCTCTTTTGCGCCTAGAGTTGCTAGTTCTGCTTTGAATGCCGCCTTCGAATTTCTCATGCCGTCCTCCGTAATATTCACTGATTTTTCGTCCCAATTCCAGGCTAGTATCATAAGAATCTTATCTTGGCTGTCCACAGCTACAGGTATTAGATATGCCCACTCTGCCACGTATGGATGGCCATCATCCTCCAGCCAGTTACCTAATGCTTCTATTCCTTCTTGTCTCCATCTTTCTTTCCAAATTTCCAAAATCTCGCGCACTTTGTCCCCAGCTCGTTTGAAGACCTCGCTATCGAACTTGAACATAAGGACCTCTAGTTTGTTCACTTGCTCTACAGGATTGGGTAGACTAATGCGTGAGCACCTATTGGTTGGATTGAGTTGGCTGGACATTTCTGACCGCATCAAAGTTACCCCAAGACTCTGCTGAAATATACTCCATTGCCTCGCATTCTTTGATTCAACGAGTAAACAGATTGATTCTTGACCTTGAGCTGTCTCTGTTCCCCAGTATTTTACAGAGCAGCCTTGGATAGTTGAAATGTATTCAAGTGTAGCAAGCCATATTTTCCCAGTCCGTGAGGATATGTCGAGCACAGAGAGGCCTTGAAGAAGCTGAAACTGAACAATAATAAGAATTTCTTCCGCGATATTGTGTCTCTCAATTGCCTCGTTCCAGTGAACACCGCCACATGCCGGGGAAAGTAGGATTGGTCTTCTCCTTTTCTCCATGCGAATTCGAGATCTTCTTTCCTCTTGTGTTTCTCTTGGACGTGTTGCTTCTGCTGTGCCAGTTGAAAAAGACATTTGTTATTCGTTGTATTTGTGGATGTCAATAAAGTAATTTTTGATGTGTTAATCTGTGTTGAGATTGAAAGTAGCTTTTAGATAAGTAGAGGTTATCATCAAAAGTCGTAGACTGTTAATGGGTAGCAAGTTCATAAAGAGAATTTTGCTAAGCCAAGGCATAATACGGCCAGTGGATGATTTGTCGTATCTCATGTGATTTAGGTGCTGTGTTGAATGCTAGCCTTACTGAATCAAGACTGGAATGTTGAAAAGAGTCCGAATGCCTCGAATTCCTGAAATCTTATGTGCTCCAATTCTTTGTCAACATTTCAGGTCTATACAACTTACAAGCTTCTTTTAATACTTTCCTAATGGTTCAATTCCGTTTCTAGTCTTTCAGTATATCCCTAGTAGTATGAAATATAGTAATATAGGAAAATGTACGAACTATCGTATCAAAAGTCTTAGTACGGTTCAAGGCCCAAACTATACACGCCACTCTTTTTATATTATATACCAAAACTTTGACACGCGAATTGCCTAACTGAGCTATATTGATCGTATACATCCAATGAGCTAAAACAATAGTTTCCAGTTACGTACTCGGTACTTTCGTCCATCGTAATGTAGTGTATAGGTTGTTTTCTAAGGGATCCTGCGGCGCTCACATGCTGATCAAGTAGCCAGGCAGACGCTTTCTAAAGAACACAATTCGAAGTGTTCTGAAGAATTTATACTTCATTGGAAGGAAGGCGTAGTAAGACTGAATCTACTTTAACCTTATGCTACAGCCGAATTCGCGACCACCGCAATGCAACCGTATTATAGAACTTATAAGACTGAAGATATGTTCTATATATCAGCTAAATTAATTATTCACCTGCAGAAATATCAATTCTATTCTCGAAATGCCCATCCAGCAAGTTAACCTTTTTAAATAGCATCTTCAATAAGCGCTCCATGAATTAAGCGCAATAACATTCCTCAACTTCTCATTAATCCCACTAAATACGCTTTGGACGAGATTATGTCCTTGAGCATCTGGTTTGGTATTTGCGATGGCGATGAGGAGTTGATGGTTGAAACCGCCGGTATCTGTTTGGGATTTTTCGTTTGAGAGAATGGTTAGATGAGGTATGCTTTTGAAACTTTGGAGAAGGGCGGGGAGCGTAGTTTGATACTGTCATTCCACTCGCTTATGATGGCCTGGGGATCGCTTGCGGTAGCCGCTTGAGGGATTACGATAGCGGAGACGCCCATAATCATCAGATGCAGGTGGCAGCAAATTTAGTGAAATCCATGTTGAGTCTTCTAGTGAATTAAGGGGAAAGGATAGTAGGTCAGAACCCAGACTTACGTTATTTATACTTTGAGACATGATACCCGGTAAGGATGTTAATAAGGTAGAGGTTTTGAATGAGACTCGACCTAGGGTTATGAGAAGCGACAAAAAGGAGAATGGCTCGTACATTCTAACCCCCCCTTCCATTCACAAAATAAACAAGCAGCAAAACCCCGAGATTCCAATCAAGTCCCCGCGCCACATTCTCACGCCCTCGCCAGGAAATAAATACGATCATAAATCCAGTGATCTGAGATCAAGGGACGCTGAACACAAACCAACCCATTGAGAGTTGAAGCGGCGACTGTGCCGCAATTGAAAAATTGAAAACACCTAGCGAGCTAAGGTTCCTAGTCAGGATACAAAACATCTATGTCGAGACTATCCAAGGTACACATTAATAGTGGTTACATAGTCCACGTTTTCCCAAACTTCAACGACCAGTTGAGATAAAATAATCCTTGATTAGTTTCCAGGCGGAAATATCATGATGATAGTTGATAGGGAGCAACGATAGTCCTAAATTTATTCTCTAGTTAATATTCTGTAATGGCGATGATGATATGGATCCGGCATATGCTAACATGGTGGTGGATAGTAAAAGTATATTGCTCAATCTAGGACCAGCTCATTCTGCATCAAGAAGTCTCTCTACTTGATAATTTTGCTTCCTTGAGTTTTCGTTGATACTTGTTAGTTTTCGAACAGTTTGATTGCACTGTTGCAGCTCTCTTCAGCTGGACTATTTGGCTTCCTTGCACTAATAAGTCTGAGGCTTTCCAAAGAAAAATGACACACAGCAGCCCCACAATCCTCGCGATCTCTTCCATCAGCTCGATCTTTGTAACTCCGGAAAGAGATGAACAAGTACCAACCACACACTCAGAGGGAGTAAGACGGGCTTTATACATGTTTGGACTTTATCTAGATTGATAGCTAGATGGGGAGTTTATCTCAGGGACTCATTTGGCATGCATCCGATGAATTGTAGTGACGATACATTTCTAGGTAGTCTGGAACTGGCTTGATTCGAATTTTGTAAATCACAATGAGAATACCCACGCTTCGGCCAAGATCATCAGTACATTAACTGATGACATAAACTACAGCCTGGAGGAATACGAATTTAACCCAAGCACGACGACAGCTTTTCGATGAAGCAGTATGTTTCCGCGGTGCATTGTACCGGTCCTGAAATATGATGACTTGATAATGTTTGAACCGTAATGACCATTCGTTGTAAAACAAAATGCTTATTTCTGTTTGAAACTGGTTGTTATTGCTCAGAATCCTTCTTCAGGGAAGTTCTGGTGTTGATGCAGGACAGTACAGAGCAGCTGTGGTGCGAAAATGAGGCCCAAAATCCACCACAAGAAATTTAGATCCTTGCATTACTAGAACCAGCGTTCTATAAAATAATCAGAGTGAGAATTTGCTTTCAATATCACCAAGGCACAGGAAATAAGACTAGACCAAATTGATACCAGAGAATGCGATGTGAACAGAAAGTCGATCAATATTACTGGCATGCCTCATTTGCAATATACAGCGTTAAAATTATTCTTCTTAAGCTGGGGTGTCCGAAAAAGGAGATCCGCCGATGAAATCTAGATTTCTTTCCAATTTTTATGTTGCGAAAATCTTGCAATTCTAGCAAATGATGCTTGATTCCACAGGGAGGTCGGACGTCCCGACATTCGCGACAAGATAAGTACAAGTATCACCATTTTTCGCCTCGTCAATTACTATAGCTTGAACAAGATCAGATACCAAGTCCTTCATGATATGTTGTTGTGAGTGAATATGGCTGACATCAAAACCTCACCAATAAAGTGCATCAAATATCTTATCTATCATCACGCAGCCCATGCATGGAGCACGTCATGAGGGGTACATTGAAGTTTTGCCCGCAACATAAATCGCAACAACTACAGAAAACCTTTCGGAGAAATATTGAGCAATGTACATGGTAGATATGCCGACCAACGTAGGGTTATAAATACTAGGTGGTCGATGGTGTCAATGGCAAGGATTATATCGAAATATTAGCAGCCCGAACTTTCGAGGGGGTAGTTCCGCAAATTTGATATGAGATAATTTACATAAATCAACAGTACTTCTATCATGTAGAGCGAATATTTGTCGTCACTCTATCAATTCTTTCCATATTGAAGATGACTTCTACCAAAAATAACTTGGTTGTACATGACCACGTGATCGACAATTCCAGTTCAGAAGAAGTGTCGAGCTCAGTCATCAAAGAGGAAACGAAGAGAACGTGGACTAGTTATATATGGGATAGTTTGGATAAATCCCCTCAAGAAAGACGGTTTCTGTTCAAGCTTGATTTGGCAGTGTTGACGTTCGCTTCTCTGGGTAAGTTTTGTTGTCCATTGCCAACGCACCTTGCACTTTCATAATGAAAAGACTTCCCAGTTTTGACTAATCAATAATGTAGGATACTTCATTAAGAATTTGGATCAGCAAAACATAAACAATGCATTTGTCTCGGGAATGAAAGAGGATCTAGGCTTGTATGGAAACCAACTCAATTACATGGTCGCAACATGGACTGCAGGATATGTAATTGGCGAGATTCCTAGTAACATTATACTCACTCGAGTACGCCCTTCTATATGGATTCCTACCATTGAAGTATGTACCCAATCCCTATTGATGATAGTTGAGTATGGTAGCTAAAAATCTCGCAGGTAGTCTGGACAATCCTGACAATGTGTATGTCGCGGTGTAATAACGTATCACAAATATATGCATTACGCTTTTTGATTGGTCTGGCTGAGAGTGGTTTCTATCCGGGAATGCAGTACATTATCGGATCATGGTACAGAAAAGACGAGTTGGCTAAAAGGTCGTGTATATTCCATGCTACAGGTGCACTTGGGTCAATGTTTTCTGGATATCTGATGGCTTCCGTGTACCATCTCGGTGGTCGAGGTGGTCTAAAAGGTTGGCAATGGTAAGAAAATCGAAGGGTATTATCATCAGCCTGCTGTAACGGTGACTAACCGATACATAGGCTGTTTATAATCGATGGCGTCATATCCCTTCCCATCGCCATAGCAGGATATTTCATCCTCCCAGATGTCCCAGAAATTGCCAAGGCGTGGTACTTCTCTAAAGAGGTTTGTGATCAACCAGCTCGTTGGTTTTCCTTGCTAATGCTTCAATAGGAACTGGACTATGGTAAGAAACGCATGGAATTGGAAGGTCGGGAACAAAGAAAGCCGTATACCAAAGCAAAGATAACAAAGATTTTCTCATCTTGGCATATATATGCTCTTACCCTCTTATATGTGTAAGACTCGAGTAGTTCAAAGCAACGTAGATCCAGCTGACATCCATTCAGAACTTTCAACAATGGGGTGAGCGGAGCGGTACCAGTTTTCTCCCAATTTCTCAAAAGCTCGAAAAATCCCAAGTATACAGTGGGCCAAATAAACACGTACCCGACAGGCACTTCGGCAGTGCAAATCGTGACCACCCTTGCGTATGCATGGACTTCAGATACCATCTTGAACGGAAAACGCTGGCCACCAATTGTGTTTGGTGGAGTTGTGAACATCATATGTTATGTTTCTCTCGCGATATGGGACATACCGATTGGATGGAAATGGGCTTGTTACTATCTCATGGGCTCCGGGTTTGGCCTTTCTGGTCTTTGCATGGCGTAAGTTTCCACGTGCTCATTTATATTTTAAGATACTAACAAATGTTTAGATGGGCGCATGAAATCTGCAATAAAGATAATGAGGAACGGGCAATAGTTATTGCTACCATGAATGAGATGGCTTATGTTCTTCAAGCTTGGTTGCCATTGATTGTTTGGCAACAAGTTGATGCTCCGCAGTATCGAAAGGGGTTCATCACCATTAGTGTACTTTCGTTCATTCTTATTCTGACGACGTTTGCCATCAGAATATTGTGGAAGCGGGAGAAACTTCGGTAAGTAGTTTATGGATCAAAGTTGATCGTATCGGTGATGCTGATGCAGATTTAGGGAAGCCAGAGACAAAACCGCTGAGTCATTGACAAGTGATGAAAATAATGAGAGGCCATTCGAAGATGTTGGATCGGATGTGAGTAAGGCTTTGGATCTGGATATTCGAGAAGGTAGCATCTCTGGCCCACAATCTAAAGACCAAAGTTCAAGGATCGTTCAATGAGCAACTCGGTTTTGATGTTGGCTTTACTGGAGAGTTCATAGTGCCACCTCACCCATTACGAGACCAGGTCCTCTAAACTTCCATTGCCAGCAGCTGCAGTTCAGCTGTCACATCAACTGTACGATTGTCTGCTGAAAAGTAGAACTGCCCGCCGTTGTCCTGAGAGATAATCAGATCAGGTGTTTGGCCCGGCCCGACTGTCTATGGACGGCACATTGTTCCCATGCGGTTGATCATCATACTATACAGATAGTTCGAATGATACAGTATCCATGACTACCTAGCTTGATGAAGCATGCCGTGAATGTTGAGTGATATTTAGTCGTAATGGTATCAATTGCAAGGGTTGATTATCATTGTCCTATCGATAGAAGTGGATCCTCATGAGTCGCACGTGGTGGGGTTAAAGATCGACCAATGAAAACGTGGTATTTCAATGAAACCAACAACCTTTCAAACCTTACGAATGACAAAGCCTTTGCATGATAAATGAATGATATAATAAATGATATAAACTCAGAGAACGGAATCTGTAGAGATTGAGACAGAGAGAAGTAGAGAAAAGTAATGATTACCATCAACATCATTCCATCACCTCCAGCTACCATATCAAGAGCGCATTGAAAAACCAACGACTGTTAATATAATTTCTTTCCCCCCAGTTCCCCTCTATCCCCATTATTCGGACCACACAGGACGAGAAGAGAGAGCCGTCCGTCTGGGGTGTAACGTGCCAAGACCCTCATCTCGAATACTGCCCATTATGTAATCATTCACCGCCTGCTTAAACGACGTAGGATCTTCTTCGGTCCAGTCTAAATTTATTATCAAGGTGGGATGTGGGAGAAAAAAAAAATCCTAAACCTTCAAAATGTCGTCAAAGTTATCTTCTGTTCGCAGATATCTGCTTCATTTTCGACCTTTCAGTCACCATCCATTCCATTTGGGTTGATTGTATATCTTCCACTTGAAATTCGACTTACAAAACAATTATCCGGTTTCAACTTTTCTCCAAAGAGTCATATTGAAAGAGTCCTAAAAGTAAGTTCGTCCTCCTGCCCTTGCAAGTTCCGCGAATTTTTACGTCACGTACTCTTCTATGAGTTACACCACGACGAACCTCCTGAACTTATTCCGGCGAAAAGTACGATTTGTTACACTCATAAGCAGGATTCCCCGAATCCAAGTTGTCTGAATTTAAATACCCTCAAATCTGACTTTAATTCCTTATCAGTAACGGAACTGACAAAGTCTACACAGAATCCAAATAATTACTCCATAAGACTTGTACAAAATGTGCGGAATTCTCGGTTTAATATTGGCCGCATATGACGACCCCAATTCAACCACGGCGGCGTCGCAAATACACGAAGCTCTTTACTATTTGCAACACAGAGGACAAGATGCCTGCGGAATCGCTACATGTGCCGCTGGAGGTCGAATCTATCAATGCAAGGGCAACGGCATGGCTTCAAGAGTGTTCCAAGATGGATCTCGCATTCAGGATCTTCCCGGTTTCATGGGCATCGGTCACTTGAGATACCCCACAGCTGGAAGCAGTGCTAGTGCCGAGGCTCAACCTTTCTATGTCAACAGTCCTTATGGCATTACCTTTGCGCACAACGGAAACTTGATCAACGCTCCAGAGCTCAAGCGCTTCCTCGATTTCGAAGCTCATAGACATATCAATACCGACAGCGATAGTGAGCTAATGCTCAACATCTTTGCCAATGAGCTCAATGAGACTGGAAAGGCCCGTGTCAATGAAGAAGATATCTTCAAGAGCTTGGAAAGAATGTATGGCAGATGTGTTGGAGGTTGGGCATGCACAGCAATGTTGGCTGGATTCGGCATCCTCGGTTTCCGCGACCCACACGGCATTCGTCCCCTCATCTTGGGTTCTCGATCAACCGAAACAGGAGCTAAGGATTATATGATGGCTTCTGAATCGGTTGCTTTAAAGCAACTTGGATTCAGCGATCTCGTTGACATTCTTCCTGGACAGGCCGTCATCATCAGAAAGGGCTCAGAGCCTCACTTCAGACAAATTGTTCCACAAAAGAACTATGCTCCAGATATCTTCGAGTATGTTTACTTTGCTAGACCTGATTCTATCATCGATGGTATCAGTGTTCATAGAAGTCGACAAGCTATGGGAAATAAACTTGCCGATACAATTAGCAAGGTTCTCGGCCCTGAGGCAGTCAAAGAGATCGATGTCGTTATTCCAATTCCTGAAACCTCCAATACATCAGCTCAGAGTGTTTCGAAACGTCTCAAGATACCTTACTGCGAAGGATTCATCAAGAATCGCTATGTCTTCCGCACTTTCATTATGCCCGGACAAGGTGCTCGCCAAAAGTCTGTTCGCCGCAAGCTTAGTGCAATGGAGTCTGAATTTGCGGGACGTACAGTTCTCTTAGTTGACGACAGTATCGTTCGTGGAACGACCAGTAGGGAGATTGTATTGATGGCCCGTGAGGCAGGGGCAAAGAAGGTCATATTCGCTTCCTCTGCTCCACCCATTACCCACGCTCACATTTACGGTATTGATCTTGCATCACCTCAAGAACTTGTCGCACATAACCGTGATAGATATGCAATTGCTGAACATATCGGTGCGGACGAAGTCATCTACCAGTCATTGGAGGATTTGAAGGCAGCATGTGCAGAACTTTCTCCTCGCGATCCAAAGACACAAGAATTTGAAGTTGGTGTTTTCTGTGGTACTTATGTAACACCGGTTCAAGATGGTTATTTCGAGCACTTGGAACAAATTCGAGGTGAAACTCGTAAGATGAAGGTTTTGGAGAGTGCGAAAGAAGCTGTCATCCATGGCGTAGCAGGAGAAAAAGAATTCAATCTCATCAGCCAGGGAGCAGTAGTAGATTCAAAGGGTCAGGTAGTTCCCGATGTCAGCCAAGATCAGGTCGGCAATGGAAATGGAAATGACAATGGCAATGCGAGGCCCAAGCTAGAGTCTAGCGAGTCTAGCACACCTTCGGTCAGAGATCGTCAAGATATCAGGTATGTTTACTCGCTATCAATACCTTACTCTGGACAACACACTGACTTTTGTTAGTTTACATAACTTTGCAAGTGACTCTAACAGAGATTACAACTGAAATTTTTGAAATTTAGAAGTAAACTCAAACTTTAGCAAACTTTTAGATTAGGTACAAACATGGCGCGGCTTTTTGAATCTGGCTACTTTGGCTAGATCGGGAATTCAACAAATACCAAAGATATTTAGATGTACAATATCGGTGCTGCTTCATATCATAAACAATCATCGCGCGACTTGTGAAGTGAAGGAAAACAATACTTCAAAACAATCTCAGCATGTGCTTCAGACTAATTGTTTGCATATTATGTACCTTCGTGCTGTAGCCCTGCTACATAAACGCGCGTCACTCGCCACTACTCTTCTTGCTTTCCATTCACAGTTTCCTTGTTTTGTTCTACATCTGAGCATTACAGATGAATAGATCATGTCATGTTTCCATCTATTCATACGATCCGCTTCGAACATGATGATTATGTATTATCTTGTGTTCATCCTCATCACCGTATACTATTCAAAGACACCGCCTTCACTTTTTCCCTGTTACCATGTCGGAATGAGGGCCTAGGTAGTTGGTTGTGAGTGCTCGCTTAGGTTCTGGGCAGGTACCAGGCCAGGTAGCTGGAGGTACCAACAATTTAGTTCGTAGACAAGGTTTGCACAACCAACAGTTGCAAATATATTGTGTCTCAAATCTCGCATGTTAATGCGTAACTACTCCGCCTCTTTTATTTCGGATGTATCTTGGGGGGGGGGGGGGGGGGGGGGGGGGGGGCGTTCGATATTTTGCGAGTTTGGGATAATGGTAAATGTATGTTGGAGGCGCGTGTGAAGGCTGTTTGTATGTTGTTTTTGTAACGTCTCTCAATGGTTCTCTAAGCGCACTGTTAATGCGGAAGGCTATGAGAGTTGGTTTGCTGGGATGGGAGATATTGTGTTTGAGACCTGGGGCTTCTCGTGTCTGGGGATGGTATGGTGGAGATCTATGAATAGTCTGAGTGAGAGATGGCTTGGTTGGAGACTGCGTACTTTTCATCGAGGGCGCTGCGCTGCGGTGGGTTTTGGGTCTTGGTTTGCATCTGGAATGGATGTACAATGGCGGTTTCTCCGGGTGTGATATTCGTGATATAAATATGTATATATCTTCCCCTCAGCATTAACTTCTCAATTTCAAAATCAAACAGCTATCTTTCTCATCGGATCAGTGCTATAACCTATCATCTTCTTTGATCACTCCATTATATACTCAGCTTGATAACCATCTATTAGCCATGCATATCACCCTTGCACACTCTCTCGCCATCTTGAGCATTCTCACCTACTCTTCCACAGCATTAGTATTGCAACAAACATCCGCCGGTCTCCAAAATGACTCGGAATATGATGGCGCGGCAGAACAAACTATTTCTCCTCCCACAGCAATAGATTCCAACCCTCTCTTCCCAAGATCTCTATCTACTATTCCTTCCGATAAATCATCGCCTACAATTATACTCGATGAACTCATAGATGCCGATATAGCACCAGAAGCGAAACTTCCCGCACGCAATTTAGGTCCGTTGGGACAGGAAGGATTCAACATCGCTACATATCTCACCAATCCCATCAACACCCAGGCCGCGGTGACTTCTCAAATCCTAGCTCCCGCGCCTTCGATTACTGCGGTAAGTAGATTAATCCACCCATTCCCATTCCTTATCGAAAATTTGCAAGTTCTAATACTCATTCATAACTTCAGGATCCAAGCTGGAGTGAAATATTCCTCACTCCTACAACTACGGTGATTATTCCCGCTTCTACGATTTACTATACTGTGGCTACGGTTACAGTTGCTGCTCGGAGTATCAATACATTTGCAAGCGATTCCGCGATTTCGCAAGTAAATTCGGCGCTACCGCAAACGTTCCACACAATTACCACCAGATCGTCTACTCTCGCTTCATCGATTCTTCGTCAAGAGAACGGAAAGCGTGGTTTCGAGGAAGATAAGAAGGCTTGTGAAGCGCTGGAGCAGTCGGAGGTGCTAAATTGTTTGGAGACGGAGGGGTTGTTGGTGCCGTACACGACGGTTACGGAGGTGCTGGGGGGGAAGACGATGGTTTTGGTGGAGGTTAGTGTGGGGGCGGGGAGGGCACGGAGGGAGGCGGTGGTTACGGGGAGGGTGTAGGTTAAGATGATGGTATTGTTACCATTCCCGGGTACTTTGGGCACGCACTTGGGAGTTGTTGTGGACAGGTTGGAGAGGTTGCGTGGTTGGTTAATGAGTGAGTGAAGATTGATAAGCGAGAATGCCAATATCAGGTAGAAATCGGGTTCGCTCGGAAATACACATTAGGATTATTTCTCAATTGAAAGCAGATTATGGACCGTTCTCTTTACTGCCGTAAGACTATATTTTTTTGCCTCAAAATTGTTGATTTCGAACATCAAATGCGTTTTAAAGCTCTGGAAGCTAGTCTGGATTACAGGAAGGAGATATTTGCTCCTTCCTTTACGATCAAGTTCAGTGATGGTTCTTGCTTGTCGTTCTTTCTTCACTCGACTATACATTGGTTACATTTCTACACTCTTCCATCTTCCTTTTCAATCATCTCTTAACCACAACATGTTCGTTATTTTTGGTCTTCATTCGTGTGTATCGCTCTATTTAACTTCTGGATCATTTGAAAATTAACTTTATATATTCTTTTGTATTTCGAGACATTCATAATCATGGCACCAACAAGTTCAAAAAAATTCAATTCTAAACTTGCAGGACCAACATTGCAAATCATGAAAGTTTTAGGACCAAGCCCTCTAGGATCAAACCCTCTAAGGGCAAGCTCTCTAGAATCAACTCCTGCGACATCAGCCCCTCCAGTTTTGGGCCCTCCCAAAGCAGGCCTGAACTTGCACCTATCAAAGCCTGAACTAATGCCCATCGCATCGCGACCAATTCCCCTCAGAACTTTGATCACCCTCCTCAACTACGAGCGCGTAACCTCGGATATTCGATATGAGAATTTCAGTCTTTACCATAGCTCAGAAATGGAAAGTAGAGAAAAAATCAAAAAGTTCAACACAGCGTATACAGAGGGAGTGCGATGTTTCTGCTACGACGACAGTCCTTACCCACCAGATCAACAAAAATGGCGACAAACTACCTGCAGAGTACACCCTGAAGCACCTCCTGAAACACGACGGCTAAATTCCGCACAGCTTGAGCGCGCATTCTATGAGTCTCGGAGTGCAGATTGGGGTCCTGGATGTGAGATTATGTTTCAGCTTTTCTTCAATTTTTGTGGGAAAGATCAACAAGTGAAAATTCAAATCAGCGATGAACAACCAGTTTTGGTGGATGCCTCTGGCATATACTTAATGAAATTTATGTTGTACCGTCCGAGACATCGAAATCTCAACGGGAAACATGAAAAGCCAAATGGTGTCTTCCAAAAACTGATGTGGGAAAATTACATAGGAAGCGTTCTGGTCTTCCCTCCACCGATGAATACGGGACCATCGAGTAACGGCGAGGAAGTTTCTGTCGATTTGGATGATTGCTTTGTGTTTGATATGCTACATATGCGACATGGTAAGAAAGGATTATTTGAGGAGCCTTACTTTCTGGGCAATGGTAGGCAGTGGCAAAATTTTATGGACGTCAATGTTTGTGAAGATTTTACAATATTTGACGAGACAGTGCTACTCAGTTTGACAGAGAGTCGAGAAAAGTATTCTAAGGAGACTTGGAATTGGTTTTATAATCATTCACTAAGAGCCTTTCATAGATGGATAGCGAATGACCAAAATCCAAATTTTCTATGGTGCGACTATTGTGGAATCGGAGGAGCAAAATTTATTAGATGTTGTGGAGAGGGGGATGAAATGACCAGGTATTGTAGTGAAGAGCACAGACAGAGAGGATGGGCGTTACACCGGTTCACTTGTAAGAACAAGGCCGAGAATATGTAGGATGTGGACTAGTGTTGCGAGTGTTGTGGATTCGAACTCGATATCAAACTTAAAACTCGTAGGGACTCTGAAAATGTTGGGAAGATATTTGATTATTGTCATCTAAAGCAGCGATAAAATGGGTGGCAGTTACACCAGTATCGATGCGAACGCAAGAAGTATCCCGCGAGTGGGTTGAGTGAACTCAAGCAATCGGTGAGAAGATGGGAACATCAAGTCGACTGCTTCAAAAGGGTGACTGCAACTCAAGCGTTTTTGTTCAGGGAGGAGAACTCTAGCCAGCATCCAGTAGTTTTACTTGCAAATTCACTACACGTTTCCATCTTGAAGTCATTATGACATTATGACATTTTGAAATTTTGAAATTTTGACATTTTGACATTTACAATACTCTTCAAAAAAGAAGCGACATGAAGACACAAGCTATGTTCTCATCTAACTCTCGTTCTCCAGACAAGATTCCAAATCGCATTGTCTGGGACACAATGAGACGACGAGTAAGATCGGTTTTATATTTTCAATCTTACCCTCACCACCAAGAAAACACTATCGTTGTTGAAAGTTCAAGATGGCGTCCAAGTACTAATTGGAGACGGCGTGGTTTTGAGGAAATTCTCCTATCTCATCCCTCCGTATCTCATTATTGAAGTATAGGAATGCCACCCATTGTTCAGAATTTCCCAGTCATCATGATGCTAATGGATAATGCGCTTAAATGCGTAGTTTCTCATCCGTAAGCGTAATATTTAAACACGATCTTCATGGTTGAAATCGATATCTCTAGGAGATATCCCAAAGCATCAGTTCATAAACACCGGTATATATAACATCAAGAAACGCTACGCAGCCTACAATACTTCGTAGGATGGATTGAACACTGCGGTATTTGATCTACCGCCATAATTGCGATGCTTGGATGAGTAGACATTATTCGCGGCTGAAAGTATAAGAGATAAACAACTTGCACTAGGTACACATCTTTCTTGCCCTCATATGAGATTTTGGCTTCATACTATGATTCACGTTGTGAGACCTAGCTCTTCGTGTCTTTCTCTCCTCGCACTTCAGCCAGCACTTTGTAGGTTGGAATCCAATCCAGTAACATCTGTACTGTAATCTTAACTCAATCCCATGATCATGAGAAAGTCACGGGAAAATCGGATCGAAGAACGCCTCTCATCCTTCCTAACATCTACTACGGCATAGTACTTCAAAGGACTACCCGATTCAGTAACACGAGGCCCTTCGGTCCGTGTATTGCATATAGGCTGAATTGATTTACGTAGTTCAACGTTGTCATCTTTCGGGGTCTTGTGCGGAAAGTTCCGTGATGAAACTAGCAGGGATTAAGCTCTCCCCAGAAATTTGTTTGGGCCATCATTGCGATGCTGCTTATTCCTTTTCTCGGACAGTTGTTGTTCTTTGAGAGCATGTTTTGAAAGAGTTGATTGATCATTCAGTTGTATGAACTAATTTCTGTGTTCTCGTAAATGGGGATTGTGCTGGATACCCTCCTTTGAAAATAGGCCCCCCCATCGGCCAGCATATCCCAATACCAATATCTATCAGTATTGCTAAGGTGCAATCGACGAAATGGAAAGAGACCACCCCCTTCCAGATGGACCCTTTGCGGGCTGGAAGCATTCAGATGTGTAAGTTGAGTTGGCGCAGGAATCTTGGGGACTATCGCTAATCTAGATGTGTCTCTATAGTGAGAAGCTCATGTTCACATTAGCCGCTGGGGCTACAGCAGTTGTTGGATGTTTTCTCTACGGAACAATTCGTTTTATTGAATGGTATAATGCGGAGCCAATTCTACGCTATTCTATTGCTGAGCTCAAGGCACCAGAGGAAAAGAAGATTTTGGAAAATCCGAGCATCAAGGTTGGTGGAAACAAAATAGGCACAGGGGCAACGATGCTGATGATATACAGGCCGCCGACTCCTCAAATATTCAATGTTATGCTCCAGCGACTGGTCAATTCCTAGGATATGTCACCCCTTCAACGCCCGAAGATATTGATAAAGCAATTGAGAAGGCGCATGTCGCACAGAAGAAATGGGCGCGAACCACATTTACTCAGAGGCGGCAGGTACTACGCTCTATGATGGCATACATATTGGATCACCAGGATGAGCTTTGCAAGGTTGCATGTTTAGATTCAGGCAAAACCATGATTGATGCCGCATTAGGAGAAATCCTAGTGACTGTCGAGAAGCTTAACTGGACTCTGGAACATGGTGAAAAGGCATTGAGTCCTTCTCGAAGACCTACGAACTTGCTCATGATGTATAAGAAGAATACGGTCCAATACGAACCCTTGGGAGTTGTCGCTGCTCTAGTCTCTTGGAACTATCCTCTTCACAATTTGCTTGGCCCAATAATCTCCGCAATTTTCTCTGGAAATGGAATTGTGGTGAAAGCATCCGAAAATACAGCCTGGAGTGCACAGCATTTTTCTCTTATTGCAAGAGGAGCATTATATGCATGTGGTCATGATTCCAATCTGATTCAAGTTGTTACATGTTGGCCAGATACCGCAAATCATCTTTCGTCTCATCCTAGGATCTCTCATATTACATTCATCGGTAGTCGACCAGTCGCCAAATTGGTAGCTGCGGCAGCATCTAAGCCTTTAATTCCAGTCGTCGCCGAGCTTGGAGGGAAAGATGCGGTGGTTGTCATGAATTCCGCCGTCAAAGACCTTCCACGTATCACCGAAATCCTCCTTCGTGGTACATTTCAAGCCGCTGGACAAAATTGTATTGGTATCGAACGAATTATTGGTCTTCCAGACGTTTACGACAAGATTGTCGCAACACTCGAGCCACGGATTCGAGCTCTTCGTGTCGGCTCTGCTCTCGACTCTACGGCAGAATCGCCAGTTGATGTCGGAGCAGTCATTTCTGATGCTTCATTTGACCGACTCGAGAAATTGATCGCAGGAGCTGTCTCGGATGGAGCTCGTCTGTTGGTTGGCGGTAAACGTTACAACCATCCAGTCCATCGCTCTGGACATTACTTTAGTCCTACTCTACTCGTCGATGTCACCCCTGAAATGGCTATTGCTAACGAAGAGTGTTTCGGACCTATTTGCGTCGTTATGAGAGCCAAGAACCCTGAAGATGCTTGCAATATTGCAAACCAACCCGATTTCGGACTTGGTGCATCAGTCTTTGGATCCAAAGATTGGGAACTCAACGCCATAGTCAAGAACATCAAAGCCGGTATGGTAGCTATAAATGATTTTGGTGCATACTATGCAGTTCAGTTACCATTTGGCGGAGTGGCAGGTAGCGGCTATGGAAGGTTCGCAGGTGAGGAAGGCTTGAGGGGTCTTTGTAATATCAAAGCTGTCTGTGAGGATCGTTGGCCATGGTCTCCTGCTTGTACTGCTATTCCTCCCCCACTTCAATACCCGATTCCGGATACTACAAAAGGCTTCGCATTTACGAAGGCGGTGGTGGATATTGGGTATGGAGCTGGTGTAAAAGGCAAATGGAGGGGAATTAAAGTCATGTTGGGGATGAATTAATTGGAGATAGAGTAGTAATAGATGGAAATGAAAGATTGGCTATCGGCATAGGTGGAGGTCTTTTTCCAGGGTGGCAGGTTTCTGAGATAATATCATATACGAGATACCTTTATGCGAATATTTATCATGTACATTTGAAAAAACGATTTCCGCAAGGGCCCTTTCTGGAGGGTCGCAGGAGAAAGACGAAATAGAAGAACTTAAACAAACCAATAAACTGGACAATTGTAAATTGTTTCCAAATTGCTTTTCCAGAACTGGGAGTCTAAAAATTTATCACGCTTCATTCTATGCAAAGTCCTTTGTTACCAAGCGGTAACTACCAGTGCATGGCCGACCCATGTAAGAACCAAAGTCCGTTGGATCAATGAATGAGACTACGCTGATTTCGCGCAAACTCAACATCCATTTATGAACACGCTCAAAGCCTCGCATACCCCATAGCACCAAACTGCATTTCATGAATTTTCAATCATATACACCTTCAATATATGTTTTCGGTCTCTATTCATTTATGTTGATGCGAGCCTCCTCTCCAACTGTTGAGCTTAGTATGTGACAAAGTCTCAGTTGAGCAAATTCCATTCCTTTTGAAATATCACAAATGAATCTCGACAATTGGTCCATTCCATTCATGTCTCCCCAGTACAATATAGTATATTATACTAAATATCATTACAGCGCCAGTAACCAAAGAGCTGTAGTTCATGTTCGCTGCAGTAACCGGCAATGCAGAGGGCCAAAAGCTGAAGAACAGAATAATAGTCAAGTAAAGAATAGCAAAAGTGTTGTTGATAATACCGAATACTCCGGGAACATGCCATGGTCCTATTGATTCGGGTCGAGTTAGTTTTGCAACACTGAAAGAAGAAGATATATCTTACCCCAAACCAGTTGAGCACCTGTAGTGTTTACCAATGCTGGTCCATCAGAGATATCTGTGAGTTTTTGAAACCCTCCAGTGAGTCGACGATATAGTAAGAGAAGAGCGCAGATCAAGTAGGAGCTATAGAGACCAGCTACTGATAAAGATACAACATCGTTGAAGACGGTCGCGGACCCAATATTGATCAATGCGAGCAAGCATGAGACAACGCATGTGATAGCAATAGACCATAGTGGAATCGTAGTGCGACTGTCAACCTAGATCAAGATGTACAGCCGTGTTAGTGTCAGATTCAATATAGGCCAAGAACAAATTCGTAGGATCAAGACTATTATTGCACCCACCTTTGAAATGGTCCTCCAACCAGGAACACCATGATCTCTAGCAAACGACCAAAGCATGCGGGATGTCGAAGCGAGACTGCCAACAGTAGCGCACAAACCTAATATGGCAACTAGCGATGCCATAGTTGCCGACCCACTTACAGATCTAGTCGCTTGGAAGAAAATCTCGATAAACGGGTATCCAGTATCTGTTGATAACGCAGCATCAATGTCTCCAAGACAAAATAGAATCGCTATTATCATTGCAAATCCCATACTTCCGTTTAGTATTACGCTCAGGATGATGGATCTGGGTACTACTAGAGATGGATTGCGGATTTCTTCTGACATCTGCGTTGCTTGTTAGTCTCCCTTGTAAATCTCGGTAGGCATCATTCAATGCCTCGTTTAATAGGAGACTTACGTGGAATGCTCCATCTGCACCTAAGACAGTGTTAACATATTGTACAACTACACTCCAAAGATGTCGAAAAGCTTACCAAGAAACGCAAAGACATTTCCAATCAGCCCGACAAAAAATGAAAGTCCCTGAGTTGACCAATTTCCCTCATTCAGCCACCCAGTAAACACATCCTTTGCCGAATCATGCGGTGCTAGTACAACCAAGGGAATCAAGATACTAAAAAAGCCTAGAATATGCAGCACTAGGATTAAACCTTCAAACTTCGGTAACAAACTACTAACCACCGTATTGATAAAGACCGCAAAAAATATCGCCGCCCAATACAACAACGTGCCTTGCCATGAAGTTTCAGACGCCGCATATGAAGGCACAGTCAACACAATCAATCCTTGAATAATCGTCCCGGTGAGATATCCCCCCGAAGCAACAAGACCTTGCCAGCCAGTAACAGTCAACCAGCCTGTGATGTAGCTCAGAAATTTAGAGCAGCGACGAGGCGCAAGCATAGAAACCCAGTGATATTGACCACCTGAAGTCGGAGCCATAGAAACCAGCTCTGAGAGGGTGGAAAAAACAGACAGGTTACCAATCCACACGAAGATAAACCCGTAGATGATTCCGGCTGGTCCACCATTTTGAAGACCGCTGATGAATACGGTTAAGCTTCCTTCCCAGGTTATCAGAATGGTGCAGCTGAAACCGAGGATGGACATGAATGCAAAGTTTCTCTATGGAGATGTTAGAATATGGAATTCATCTTGTGGAAATTGGGGTTGATAGACGATTGTTGTAAAAGTACAAAATCAACAAACCTTCAGAACTGGCTTTTTTCCCAATCGTATCAATTCATCTCGATCTCTACTTTCCGCACTGTCATGGCGTGCTAGAGTTTTGTTGTGAATGGCACCGAGTTCCACAGCTTCGACTTCATCGTCGCGTTTGTGTGTGATCATTTTGATGATATGGATGTTTATTTATTGACTCTTGAACCTCAGAGTGTGAGATATCTTAAGAGAGAATTTCTCATTTTCTTTCCACGAGAAATTATATAAAGCGAGGTAATTTATCCAAACGATGTGGTCGCAGAGATTAGATGGTTGCAGGCTCTCTCACGGGTCTAATGAAAATGCTACTAAGCTACATGTGTTTTTATCCATGGAGTTGCACATGCACATGAGCCGATTTGTTTGTTGTTCTAGACTGGGATTTGGACCCCTGATACATATCAAAAATACAAATCTTTCCCGGGGGCACTAGTCCGGGGTTGGTTTTGTATTATGCGGTAGTTTCATGCTCTTGAGAATGATTTCAGTTATGGTAGTACTGAATTTGATACTGATGTCGTGAGACATTCTTTTTTTCCTAACTAATTTACCTCCAATTTCCAAGTACGAGGAGGTTCGGTTATGATTCTGGATTGACTAGATTCGCTCTGTCCATCCCATAAATTTCCTTCATCAACTACTAAAACGGCATTTGATTGAGCAGCTAAATGGGCCGGCGCAAATTCCGATAGTTTTTGACTCTCTGAATTTCCCCGACTCACAAAGCCCAATTTCTGGCTAATCATCTTTTTTGTCTTTGATTTTTTGATTCCTCGAGAATCAGAGGCATTGCCATTAAAATCGCGATCATCCTCTGCCGCCCTGACGCCTCTTCGACGCAAGTTATCCAACCGCAACAATCCAGACTCTAAGCTATCAAGAAACGTCTTCAAGTATGGAACACATGCTGTGATAATGCTAAGGCACTGCACGATCTGGTTGCAAATTGTTGTTCGCCACGGATCGAAGGTTGGATCTTTTATCCTTTGATTCAAAAAGAATAGCTGACAGGATACAGCAGCAATGACACTAATGTAATTTAGTTGATTGAATCTCAAAATAATCTTATAATTATACTAACCAGATACGAGTACCAAAGATACATATCAGTCTGAGTTTTCTACTCCAGGTAGTCTGTATGTGTAATGCTATGAATGTTATAAGCAAGATTATACTGGCATCGGTCACAATGTTAACAATTGCGCTATAATTCCAGAAAGCTGTCTTGGTCAAAGAATATCAGCAAGAGTTCAAATGCAAAGGTAGAAAGTAAAAAATACTGACTTGATTGAAACATTCGCCGGACATACTACCCCATACTTTCGAAGACCGGCACTGAAAGGCAACAGCTAAAATAGAAGTAATAGCCCATAATGATATCACAATCCCAAGAACTTTTGTTGCTATTCTCTCAGCTGCAATAGGTGTGAAATCATGAATGAACATTACTATAGACATTTTTGCAAAGAACAAACTCGCGATATAAAGTATACTTGCTGAATATTCTGCCTAGGGTACTCTCGATTAGTTTGGTATAACCATTCTGAATCATGATCAATTACTTTCAAAATCGTCTCTACTTGCCCATCTGTCAATGTTTCGAGAAATTTACCAAACCCATTTGCACATTCAATTGCAACCGCAACTGTCTGGCCGATGGAAAAAGCCTACAAGTCAACAGTCAGAACACTTCCATATTCTATCGGAACTTGCTTCGCTCGCCATCGATATCAGTATCAAATGATCTTGCCATTCGAACTTCTCCGAAACAGCCAACTTCGTACCCAGATGCACACATACTCCTAGAGCTGAGGCAGTAATTGGAATCCACACAAATATCTGCACCAGAGGGGTCTTGTTGGAACTCGTTATGAGAGCCTGCGTTTGGTTCATGCTGAAGATCGAAAGGGGAGAGTGAAGAAGAGAAGAAAACAGGCTGCGCAAAATGGTTTGACATGAATAGTACTCTTGTTAAAGAGCCAACGAAGAAACATCATACAGTATTCTTCGGTCATGCTTGTATACTTTGATTTTTGACAGTCATCTTAAAATAAGTAGGCAGACGGAAGACCGGGAATCATAACAATACTTGTTCCATTAGCGATGGTATTCAAGCTTCAACGTTACGAATGTTAAAGGGAGGTTATTATGACGCTCCTAACAGTTAGTAAATTTGGCCTCATTTCCATGGAACATGGTTGTTGTGTGCGACTGGTAAATGCAAATCTTGACTGACATTCATTGCGATATGCTAAAGTCACAATTAGATTGCTACCATAAAGATCCAGTTAACATAAAACCTTGTGTTACTTCTGGATTCCATGATTTTGTGCTTGATAGCACATACCTTTTCTACCAAAACATCTTCCAACACTTCCAACATGGAAAAGATCGATCCTAGAAGATTTGACGGCAAAATGCTCGGCGCTATTACGAGTTGTAGTTTGTGGTCTTCCAGCTTTTGCTTGAAAGCTTAAATCATTGTAAACTGTGATTGGAATCTAGAATTGAATGCTTGCCACACGATCCTGGTGCTGGTTCCCCATACGGCAGCTCGAAGAAGATTACGGAGCAAAGGAGCCTTTCTCGAACCATGAATGCATTTCGGCAAAAGAAGGGTACGACTTCTTTGCCTGATAAGAACTAACCTTTTCATACCAGTTGCATATGTTAATGTAACGTTGACAAATACCTAAGCCCCGCACTAAACTTGGCCCAGAGTCTTATTACCGTTTATCTCGAATGACTGCGTCTATGCCCAAGCCCCGTCAGGGCATGTCTAGTCTGGACGAATCATTGGTACGGGATCAATACCGGTAGTCTGGAACGCCCTGGTTTAGTGCTTACTGGCCCACTCTAAATTATCCAGGCTTTGTTCCGGACCCTAGTTCCCGTATCTTCTTAAGATTTAACAAGATTTGACACCAGTGAAACACGACTTTGCACGGTACTTCGAGCAATGCCTATCCAATCTTATCCTGGGAATAGCCGGTACGTGTGGTTCTCGCCTAGCTTCTCACCTGTCCAGAACGCTTCACATAACCTCAGTTCTGTCCATCTCAACGATATGACTACATGTCAGTACTTGAAGTCTCGAAATGACTCTTCAGCTTCAACCCATAGATTCTGAGGTTGATTTTCCTGCGCTTACACGGTGCATGTTTGAATCCTATGAACGCCCTGTGCAAAAATTCTTTCATCTTTGGTTTCCCATCCAAGGAACAGGTGACAATGCCCGCGAAGATGCAATTAATGAAGCAGCAAGTCGGCTAAAGCTATGGCACACGCACGATCCATCGAGTTACTGGCAAAAAGTCGTTGATACCGAAAATGGTAGAATTTCAGGAGGGGCTCTCTGGAAAATCTACAATGAAAACCCATTTGAAAACCCACCCACTTCTACTGTGACTTGGTTTCCGAACGATAGCTCCCGCGAGTATGCCGAGCAGGCACTGCAAACACATTCTAGACCTCGGTATAAAGTTGCGCAGAAACCACATATTTGTAAGTAAAATAGTCGAGTGTACTGCTTGGAACTGACCGAAGTACAAGATCTTCATATCGTCTTTACCCATCCAGACTACCGACGCAAAGGAGTTGGCCAACAGTTTATGAACTGGGGTATGAAAAAAGCGGATGAGTTAGGGTATGAGTTTCTTCTAGATGCAACACCGTACGGACGACCTCTATATGATGCGAATGGTTTTGTCTATGTCGAAGAGAACATCAATCATCCACAGACCAATACTCCGGATGAAAAATGGAAAGAGATGGACGAGAAAGTAGGCCCTTTTACTTTCTGGCTCATGAGGAGGCTTCCTGATGATAGAAATGAGGTATAATACAAAGCAAGTAGTGGAAAAATAATCGAAATCGATCTTTTACCAGTAACTGACGTTCGAAACACACTTGACTATTTCCTTAAAGTTGCATCGAATGCGGAGAAAATCCTTCCTCTCCGCATATCCCGAGCATCAATTCTGAAGCATTGCATCCACAGTTGAGATGTACTAGGTGTTCAGATAGGTAAGTGAGCGGCTTCGATGATAATGGTTGGAAGCTCATGCCACCCTGAGGTGAAGGGGAGAGAGCCTTATGAATGTCGCTGTTATCAAGCGGAAAAATCTACTCTGCGGAATTCCATGAATTGACTGCAACAATGAGCTTGAGATCAAACACTCCGCGTATATCATGTCTCTTCCAAACCAACCGTTTCACTTCAGACTTGGGCACCAGGTAGATGTGTGTGATCTTTCAAGCTCCATCATCCTCCAACATTTGTATATCTCAAATCAATCTCTAGATGTTTGACTTAAATGTCTGATCATGAATGATTCCAGAGAGTGTTTTCAATTCCCAGAACTGAGCATTGAGAATTGGCATCTCGTTGATCAATCAACTGCATAGATGAAGACAAGTGAGTACTCAACATGTATTGGTAACTAACCATTCCAAGGTTTTCACAGCTTCCTCTCCAGGTTTCTAAATGGCAAACAACTCCCAGCATTCCTGTCAGGTCTTTTTTGTCTATTCACCAGCTGTATTCCAATAAACTGATGCATCAAGGTGAATGACAGGACTGACCAGGAAATAAACCATTTCCATTTCTCTTTCTAATCAAGAAAAAAGAGTGAATAACCTTTTATGGCTCCATTTCATCCAAAATATTGATAATGAGACTTTCAATTGAAGTGAATTGAAGATTTTCTCTCTTTCTCTTGAGGTTTTAATAATATTGACCGAAAATTATCAAAGTCACTTCTCAACCATCTTTCTTCTGATACATTTTCACAAGTTATCCCGAAGTTTCCCCAAGTGGGAAGAGACCAGAAAAATACCTTGGTGTGACTAACGCTCGAGCCTCTCTACAGTCAAAGTCCATCAAACAACTACTCATTTGGGATTAGTGAAAGTGTCAGTGGCGTCCAGATTGTCATCATAGAGAGTATAGCTTCATTGTCAAAGGTATATTGATATCTCATCTTTCGTTCTCCCACTCACTCTTTACATCTTGTTTTCTTCCACCTCACAACCACAATTCATCTCCATCCTTTCTTAAAAATTCGTCTATCATTTCTGCCTTGAATCTCTCTATCTCTATCATTCAGTCTCTTCCTTGAGCTGCTTTTGATTATCCTATCCTCCAAATTAACATTCAATTCAGTTAAGTTCAGGTCAGGTTTCAAGATTTGCAATTTCACGATGCCCACTCGAGCCGCCACCAAGGCTGCAGAAGCTGCTGCTGCTCTGAACTCTGCAGCAGCAACTCTTTCATCTCCACCAACTACACCCGCCGACGGTAAACAAATCCTCGAAAATGTCGCCACCGGTTCCCCAACTAAGTCCCGAAAGCGTGCTCCACCAAAAAAGAAGGCAAAGTCAGCGATGGAGCCAATGACGGGTGGTTGGGATGTCCTCCCTCATGGAATGGGACAAAAGGGTGATCTCCTTGAGGACGATTTCGGCAATACTGGCGCGGAAGTGACTCCCACCACTCCTAAGAGAGCCGCTCGAGCCAGAGTTACCAAGAATACTGGTAAAACTTCTATCAAAGATGAAGATGAGGAGAAGCCACTTAATCTTGGTGATTCACTTATTCCCAATCTTCTTGAGGATATCAAGGAAGAAGAGTCCAAAAAGAAGAGATCGCCACGCAAGAAGAAGGTTGTCGATGTAGCCACGGAGGTTGAAGATTCCCCAGCTAAGCCTGTCAAGGCAAAGAATAAGAACTACGGTATCGTCTTTGGTGAAACACCTTTCCCCGATCACGTCTCGCCCACTGCTCAAGAGGCCGAGACGGTCAACAGCTTGTTGACTGCTCTGCATGGTGAAGTCAAGCCGCCAGATACAGTTCCAGCTCCCTCCGAGACTGTAACTGGATGCGGAGAGGTTCCGGATGTTCTCGACGCGACTATGAGAACCCTTCTTAGCGCTGCGACCACCGCTGGCAACGCCAACAAATCAATGGCAGGTCTGAAGGCGGAGTATGGATTGAGAACCTCTGGCAAGGGCGCAGGCAGCGTTTCATGGGAAGCCGTACATGCTTCATCGAGGGAAGATGTTGAGGGGGCTATCAGATCAGGCGGTCTTGCTAAGGTTAAGGCAGGCTATATCAAGGCAATTCTACAAGTGGTTTTCGATAAAAACACCAAGCTTCTAGAGACTCTACTGAGGGAGGTTCATACTGATGATCCAGTTCTATTTGTCGGAAAGGTTCTGGAGACTAAGGAGCAAAAGGAAGCCGAAATCAAGAGCTTGCGAGAGAACATGCTCTCACTTGACTATGTACACTCATTAGATAAGCCAGCTGCCATGCGCGTATTGATGGACTTGCCAGGTATCGGGGTCAAGACTGCAGCATGCGTTGCTTTGTTCTGCTTGGGAAGACCCAGCTTTGCTGTTGACACGCATGTCTGGCGCCATTGTATGTGGCTTGGTTGGGTTCCAGAGAAAGCAAGCCGTGATCAAACCTTCAGCCACTGCGAAGTTCGAATTCCCGATCACTTGAAATATTCCCTCCATCAATTGTTCCTCCGACATGGAAAGACATGTGGTCGCTGTAGAGCTGCGACAACCGAGGGTTCCGTGGATTGGGAAAGCACTGTGTGTCCAATTGAGCACTTGGTCAATAGAACTGGAGACAAGAAGCAACCAGGCTTCAGAGCTGGCAAGAAGGCGGTTATCAAGAAAGTTGCAAAGAAGGTCGAGAAGGGTTCTAAGAAGAGAAAGAGAAATTTTGAAGACAGTGGCGAGGAGGCAGAGGTTGAAGAAGACAAGGGAGAAGACGATACTGATATTGAAGTCAAAGCAGAGTCTGAATCCCGCGTCAGCGAGCAAACAGATTGAACAATTTTTTCATTGGATTAAAGGGGCATCTATTCACGGCACGTACAAGGAAGGAAGCATTTGCATACTTGAAGTTATTTTCTAGCTGTTTGCTAGCAATTTGGAGCTGACATGAGCGTGGCATATTTGGCGTTTTTACTAAGATACCCATTTGCTTTTACTGATTACGGATCTTTTCATTGAGATGATGTACTGGGAAACAGGGGAGCATTGGGGTGCATAAGAGAAACGAGATACACGGGGACATACACTGTAATTAGATGCATTGGTTGCATTCACATGGGATAAATGGGGATACATTATAAATAGAGCTTGCATTCATTCCATTGCAACAATAAGTTCTGACATGACTGTTTGGCACTTGTGGACTACACGTGATGAGGTTTTACTACTCTAATAGATGGGATCATGGCTCGTCATTCAATGCGTATGCCATTCTGCTGTTCACCACACTCTCCCATAGGTCGGAACGTACACCATAATAATTATATAATGGGACCTACCTGAGCTACATGGATTTTCTAACGTTGAGATTGAGTGATAATCATGATTCATGGAACCATTGAAAGTATCCGCAAGACAGTGTATATTGACATTTCCAATAGTTCTTCGCATGATCAGTCCTACCTCACTGCATATCACCATCCATATAACAACACTGGCTAGCACTTTGAAATTGCAGATTTTCAGAAACAAAGGTTAACCTTACTACATAGACTTTTATATTAGAATACACCACCTAGGTATCAGACGCAAGTGAAAAGATCTTTTCTCTCCCTTAAGTCAACTTATCATGACCTCTCAATCCTCCCGCCATCATCTCCCTAACCGTCTCTTCCATCTCCTTAGGCTTCACACCCACACTCGCCAACAACTCATCCGACTTTCCATCCTTTATCTCACACTCTCCTTCACTAAGCGCAGTATAACTGCTAACCCACCACTCCAACATCGCTTTTGGAAATCCCTTCTCCGCATAATAATCGATATATTCCTGATCCGACACAATCTTCAATTTAACTTCCTTCCCTTTAATCTGCGATACCATCTTCAAAACCTCAGTCATAGACACTGTTTTCCTCGGACTCAAGTAAAAGAATTGTCCTTCATACATCCCCGACTTATCAGCCAGCACCAACGCATTCGCAATTCCCAAATCCTCCAAACTAATCATGCTCAATGGTCCATCCCCGGCAACCACCAATTCCTCCCTGGGATCCGCAACCGTGTCGTAGAAACCCGCATACAGGGGCCAGGATTCCTGGTAAAGTCCCTCTCGCACAATCGTCCACTTGATATCGGTTAATGTCCTGAGATACGCTTCAGTTCTCAAATGCGCACGCATAACGCCCGTCTTACTCTCCAATCCGAACGCTAATGATGCATAAACGATATGTTTCACACCAGCTGCTCTCGCCGCATCTATAGCTGCAAAATGGTGTTTTTCGCGTCCTTGGCCGTGAGGAGCATTGTTGAAGTCAAGATCATTTTGAGGAGTAGATATTAAGAGGAGTTTGTCGGCACCGGCGAAAGCGCTCTTCATGGTGGATGCATCATTGTAGTCTGATTCTCGTACTTGGATACCTTGGGATTTGAGGGTGTCGAATTTGGCGTCGGAGGGGTCTGAAGAGGTGCAGATGATGAGCTCGGAGGGGGGGAAGAGGGAGCGAGAGAGGATGGCGTTGAGAACTGCTTTGCCTATCTTGCCGGTGGTTCCTGTGAGGGCGAGCATGTTGATGGTGTGTTTATTGAAGGTATTTGCAGTCTTTGGATGTGTTATTATGATGAGGGAGTTTGGATTGATGAATAAAATAGTTGATTATCGCAGTCCTGCTCAGGTATTTATGTCTCATGTGAAGTCAATGATCATTATTAATTCCAAGCACCATGACACTCTCCTGTGGAGTTTTATGGGGCGCTTTAGATTCGGGGATAGGCAATAGATGATAAATCATATAAGTTGTACAAGAATACGTATAAGTAGAGAGACTAGGCAAATATATTTGCCTGATAGGAAGATCTTCTTTGATATTCACATTCATGCAAACCACCACAATCACACTTTTCCTTGGAATCTGGGTATCATGAGAAGACCATTGGACAGAAACATATCAAAAACTACTCCAAAATCAAGAATTGGCCACGAAATGAAGCTTGGGAAAGAATTTAGATTTTCCTTTGGAAGTGAGAGGAGGGGTTCTACTCTTGAGATCACGTGAGCATCGGTCCCGAGATGGATAATCTTTGACTAAAAAATCTGCATGAAACTTTATGATCCAGTCTTGGTAGTTGGTGCTTAACAAGACTGAGATTTTGCTTCAAAGTCTTTATCGGAGATATCGTATATCTCCTAGCCATTAATCGAGGACTGTACTCGAAGAAGCTCAACTGACGTTTCATAAGTGGGCTTTATTATTTTCTCAGTAAGGTTAAGGATAATTCGCAAACATATATCGACGGTCATGGATGGTTTTTCCTGTATCAATCCGAGTTGCGAATGAAGATGGAAAGCGGAGAACGAAGACGAAGCTCTGTTAGAGCAACGTATTCTCTACGGCGTAGGTAATGGGAATATCATCTACGCAGAAGGATTCGTCTTGGTTGATTGATCAGATGATGGTTTGTGTGAGATGTGGGATCTATCAATCAATGTGGAATTGGATGGAATGGGAGATAGATAATGTGAAGGTCTGTGTATGTGCGATGTGAAAAGGTCATCAAGGATAGGGAAAATGGTTTCTTGATAGTACGCTGGGTGTATTTTTACAAGGTAATGCATACAAAAGCTCGAGTGGCTTTCATGTTCATTACATACTTATTGCTACCTGCTTAGGCAGATTTCATACGTAATCCCACCTTATTCACGCATATAACATTGATTCTTATCTTCTCATCACCGATGTGTATATCTCCCGTATATAACAGCAAACAAGAAAGCCGGCCATCTCCTCATGGTTTGTGTTTTTCTACACATTTGGAGTTTCTGGTATCTTAACCTTTCCCTTCCCACCATTGGATTGAGCCTCCAAAAAGAATCAATTCAAAAACTCCCGAAAGGAAACACAAATCGGCCGGTCTCTAGTACCTCCTTAAGTCCATCTTAATGGATATAGTGGATCAACTCCTCGGGTTCTTTTTACAGTGAATGCGTATCTCCTGGCCCTTCTACCTTCGACTTTTCTTTCACATCATCTACTTCTCCTGATACCTGTTGACTTCTCGGACATCCCCAGATCACCCTTCTGGATTAATTGAGATGAGTTTGTAACTTTTCCCACAAATGGGAGCTCACTGCGGTGACCTCGTGCTGGATAAAAGGTTGTTTGAACTTTCACAAGTTGTTCATTCCAGACTCATGACTCAGATATAGAACTTTTGGAAACCAGGTTCTCGCGGGGTATCGGCATCACTCCCCCCCCCCCCCTAGGACTTCAACGGTTCGTGAAGTTAGCTGCTTTTCCTTCTTTTCAGATCTCGCCCATAAAGTCTCATCATTGCTCGGCTAAGGCGAGAGAAGCTCGGCTTTGAGGGCGGCATAAGTAATGCTAGAAGAGAAATCGAAAATTGGGCGGGCAAGTTTGACGTGGAAGCAATGTCGTGGATGCTTGACATCTAGCGTTGGTATTTCCGAGGGTTTCATGAGATAGTTTGATGCCCTCTCATTGGGTAGCTCACTTCAAAGTATTAATGACTGCAATACTGACATTTGGATTCCATCAACTTACTCAAAATGCTCAATGTATCTGGAAGAAGGGGTTATGGTGTTTCGCGACCATTGTGCGCTTGGTTGACAGTGTTCGTCATAGCCTCGTCGCTTACTCTTTTCCACTCAGCCTCCACAAGCCCCCATTTCTCTTCAGCATCAGTATACACTTTTGAGCTGTGTCCATAATCCTTGACGATTTGTAATAAATTCTTCGTATAATTGCATCGAGCTAAATCCCAATCGACGCGAAGTTGGCGACAAGTTTCTAAGGTAAAGGTTTTTGGGAGATATGGTTCGGGTAGGATACTGAGTGTTACAGATTCGTCGTGGGGCTCTGCGAGAGGACCCCCATTGTCCTCGAACAGTTTCTTCAGATAATTCCCAGACTTCTTGATACCTTTGAATTTCCACTGGGATTGATTGATCGCTGATTGGGCAATTTGGTAATCTTCGACACTTGGCGCTCCGACTCCAGCCGGTGGGAACGCAAGTTGAGAAGACCAGTCTTGAATTAACGGATCATGGCTACCGGAACTCACAGAGAACAACCGAATTGCAATGTGTAAATATTGTGCAGAGCCCGACTTCTCAATTCCCGAAATCTCGTTGTGGTCATTAGAGGACAACAATACTAATGCTTGTCGAACAACCCCCTGAATACAAAGACTGTAGAAAGCTGACAGCCACCAGAATCGGTTTCGCATGTTTTCTTTCAGAAAAATAACTCGAGATAGCTCATCCAGGTACTGTTCTATTTGTAATTCGAGATCTCGTATGCAATCGACCTTACAAATAGATAATTCACATGCTTCATGCGAACGCTCGAAGCCCCCCAATGTATTGATGTGCAGAGCTTCGACGCAAGTGCGAAGACAGGTGAGTGAGTAAGCAATTAGTTGGTTCTGCAAATTCAAATGAGCTAGAGTCACAAGGAATGTAGAATGCTTCTACTTACACTTTCAAAACTTGCTTGATATATAGCTGCAGAATGTAGAAGTAATATAAGATCTTCTATGGTCCCACTGTGTAATGTTATCCAGGGTTGGACTGCTTTTTCTGCACTTTCACAATTGAGAAATCCCCAAAGTATAGTCAAAATGCAGTCATCAAGCGGCTTCAACACAGCTGGTGCAGTGTCTCTGAACCTTTCTAACAAGGATGATCTGTTTCGTTGTAAATCAACGGCTAGCGGCCTACCACTTGCCAAATTTTGAAGAAATTGACCAATCTTCGTGGGGTGTGAAGCGCTCATAATCTCGGGACGTAAATTCTTTTCGCGACGCTTGGATATCTCGAAGCGACATTGATTTGCAGAAAGCCATGGCTTGTACATTTCCGATACTGTGCATGGATTCCGTGTTTGAATGGTTCTTGCGGGACACAATAATATCGGGAGCATTTTCTTTTTGATATCGCCACGTTTGCATCCAATACTGTGCCACGGTCCACCCTGTTTCCCTTTACATTGAATGCAGCAGTTTTGTGCATCACACTTTAACATGTTAGCTACTTCTTCTAGATAATTTGCGTATAGATTGAACAAATTTTGATGAATAGGAGAGCCGTGCACAGTAACACGAAACCAAACTTCAAAGAAAAACGGTTTTCATATTTTTCTGGTGTTACAACACACATCTCAAAGCAACGGTAACCGAGTTATCATTCATGTGAATAGTCGCTGCGAAGATTCACCAAGCAACCCTGATAGATATGAAGGAGAATAATCCAAAATCGTACCACAGAAAATTCTTCTCTGAAGTGAAGGGAAGTTGAATTGGTAGACTTACTGGCTTTCGTAAGAACTTGCAGCGCCAACAAGCCCCTATAGCTTTTACAGCATTTGCTTTGGCACGTGTGGCGGAGTCTAAAGGGCCCATACGATGAGGTGAAGATCCATAAGTAGTTGGCATACTCGAACAACCGGGCGTCGAACTAAAAACCCCTTCTTGATAGCTTGATGCTGTATTATCGAGGCTAGAATCGCTTCGATTCAGAATAGGTTTGACAACAATGTCGATTCCTTGTGACTGTGAATTCTTTGATGGGACACTGTGGACTAGCTCTACGGGACTAAGAGGTCGAGGTGTTGGTATGTCTAGTACCGCCACTGGAACTGGAGGTGCGTCTCTCCATGCTGGTATATCGGTTATAGAGTTCTGAATTCCGCTAGCAACTGGAGTATCTATTCCCGATTGAAGACTTTCGCATGATTCATGTGCATTCTCAAAAGTAGTATTGTCGAGTCGAGTATCATCCAGCATGTTGGTGTCCGGGTCAAAGTGATCTTGGTTCACAATATTTACCAGATCAAACCAGTCTGGCAGGTTTTTTTCGCCATCATGCCCTATCTGAAAGTTTGTAGAAGTACCAAAGGTGTTGTTGTCCAGGTCCACATCATTCAATAGCACGCTTGCGGACCGCTCATCTGAAAGTCCCATATCTTGCGCAAATACATCAAAGTCACCAGAGAATTCAGGTAGTGGTGCTAAGAAATCTTGGTATGCAGAGATATCCACATCCATGTTTGAATCTCCAGTATCAATAATAAAGTCGTGATAAAACGATCCTTGTAAATCAGTCTGATAATCGTACAAGTCGGGTACCTCCAAAGTATGAAGAGATGAGTTCCGGGTGATTGTGGCTCTGCGAGTCTCATATGCATAGCGAAACCGAAAGTCCAGCCGTTTAGACAGACATCGAGCAGTCTCGACTTGGCAATCTTCTCGTACATCAATGATCATTTCATCCGCGGAACCTTTGCTGAAGGTAATCAATTGTATATATATGGAAAGATTTGATTTGTTATTCATATCTATGAGAATCAGCATGTATGATTGTTCACTCCAATAGATTTACCAATTCCTGAGGTATCTAAGAAGTCATCCATAATGAGGGCGAATGATTGAGAGAGGCAGCTCGTATTTCATGAATACCGGTCACGTGAGTGCAAAAGCTCCTCAAGAGAAGAGTGAGCGTTTTTTTATTGAGGTATGCTAAATCAATATTAATGATAATTGACTGTTGATAGAAGTGATAACTGACATGGAATCGGCAAGGGTCGTTCTATCTGAGTCTTGAAGCGTATGGCATAAGAAGGCTATGGTGCTTGCTCTCCTTCGGTTGTTTGATCTTTTTGAGGACCGCCTTCTTAAAGATCTAACTCAACAATAAGAAACGAGATATTCAAAATGGTTGATAAATTTGTCAGTGGGTGTATGTGAGAATCTGTTATTGCAGACTGATTAAATTATTTTGACAAAGGCATTTTCTATTCCGATGGGTTTTTAGGTCAGGATGCAGATGTCAGCCCAAGGCAAGAAAGCGAAGGCGGTCCTAGAAATATATATGCCACCCTGAAATATAATTGGACATCGCATAGCTTCGGATGTGAGTAATAGGTTCACGATATAAAGTAATACAAACACACCGTACATGGCGATATCAAACGAACAAGAAGCGAAGTTTTAGTAATTAGGTAGGGGTGTTTTTAAAGAGAACTCCACAAAGACCGCCTTTTTAAATCCAGCCCTACAGAAAGAAACGAAATCACCTTCAGACCACCCTGCGTCCGGGGTTAGCCGCCACATATTGCAGATGTAATATGTCTATAAGTTCAAAGTCGGTGATAAGACCGCTTGCGAATATCTAACCTCTAAATAGAAGACCGCCTCCAGTCTACAGGTCACTATCCGTATGTACAAGAGGTAAGATGGCTACAAAAGCAAGCCCATTGTGCATAATATCTACCTATTTGTACTTATTCTTTGCAAATCTCACACGAATCACTCTCGAAAACCCTTCGTATCAATGGAGATGACACAATCTCATAGATTTCCTTACCATTGTTGCAAATACAATCAAAATTTACGGCGGATCGACCAAGTGTCTCCAAATTCTATATATCCTCAAGATCGACAAGAAGACATCAATAAAGAAGAGCCAATATCACAATTTATCTTTCCGAGAACAACTTGCGAATATAAATTTCATTCCGATGATGAGCTGGTCCCATCCTTTGATATTGTAGGCTCTACGAATCATTGTTGCAGGAATAGATGTTCCAATGCCGAAACGAGTGACTACAGTATGATACTATGCCTCATATTGGTTCACTGAGAAATATGCTGATCCCTATGCATCAATAGATGATTTTAACATTGAACAAGTCCAAGCATCAATATCGAGATCTTTCCCAGGAATGATCAACATGCAGACAAATCTCGATGATAGACCCAACTTCGTGGACTTTGAGCTTTTTGATTCCCAATGCGAGCAATGCGAGACACTTCATGACATCTGGCCCGATCCTTACATCTCGATTGACAGCTCGCAGCTTCATCTTAATCATTGCCAGAGCTGCAAAAGCTTCGATACATCTGATACACCAAGAAGTTCTGGAATCAGCTTATACCACGAAGACTTTTGTTCACCTCCTCCAAACTCTGTTACTAGCTCTTGGAGTATGAGCAATGAACCCATTATTTCGCTTCCCACGGTTTATTCAGGAGACTATCTCGAAGTTTCGAATTCTGGGTTCGTAGTCGGTGTTGGTGAGTGGACGTGTGGAACGATGGTCGAGTCGAATGATCTAGAAAATGAATCGAAGATTCTTCGAAACTCAGACAGCAATATCACCTCTAGAACTAATAAAGCAATCGAAGAAACACTAGATTCTTTCGAGCTTATTTTCTACGGTGTCGAATGACGAAGGTAACAACAGATATGGAATGTAGTCAGCCTACATATGGCCTTGATAGATCAATCAAAGACTGACTTTCGTTAATCAAATAAACCCTTTTGGATAATCCAGTAATATAGGCATCCGGAGGTTGCTGTCGCATAAAGATCAACTGAGGTGAATTCTAGACGGTATTCGTCGACTTGGTCTTGTGTAAAGTGGAGAAAAGAGGCTAAATATGTATTGAAGGGGGTGAAAAGCTTAATTGTATTCCCTATCAAAGGTTGAAGCTATTTAAGGTGCTAGAAAGCTAATAAAACCGTGCTAGAGGGGGTTGTAGTATTCATTCTACTATCTAGTCTATTTCAAAAAAGATTATACGTTTCTGTATAGAAAATCAAATTGTTCCCTGAAATTTAAGGCCAATTGCCTCGAAAAATGGAACTAGCTTTTAAGCTAAGAATTGTAATACACTATTCACTCTTCAATCTTCTAGTATATGAGGTTTGAATTGTTTTTCCTATTATATTGTTGTATTGTATGCGATATTCCTATCGAAACTGAACTATTGTGTGATGTACAATCGAAGAACTTAAAGGGTAGGCATATAAAAGGTAACTTATTCGAATAAAGGAAACATTAAAATGACCTGGATATTCTATACTATATGATAGGGTCCCCAGCTGACATTGAGTCACTACACAGTGCTCTAAAGCCTCTAAATAGCTCTAATAATGTCCTCAAAAACGTAAACTTAAAATGGTATCGTAGAGAGTGATTGTAGGTTGACTTGTAGTATAAATTGAAAGGTCGAATATCGTATTGTTGAAAGGAGGAAGGAGGTTCGAAAGGTGATTCGAATAAGGTCTTCAAAAAGGTGATTTCGAAAGAGGTTCGAGAGATTTCGAAAAGTAATGCTATTCGGAAATTGAAATGAAGAAATCAAAAGAAAAAGGGATTTCGAAAGGTATTGTAGCCTACAAATTATCAATAAAGATGTTGTAGAAAACTGTAATATATTATATTGAAAAGAATGAAGCAATTTGTAGTATTTAAAGAATATCTTTTAGAACTAATACCTTATAACTTAAAAGGAATTAAGAGGAGATTGAAAACCATATCCATTTTGTCCCTACGTAGATCACCAGAAAAGATATATATCGTAAATAAGGTTTTAGTATTAAGTATAGTGCGTATTATATTAAAAGCTATGTACAATCCAATTAATTATATCAATCAAGATGATTATGTAATACGCCTAATGCGTTTAGCCTGTTTTCTAGTGGATATCCCGGTGTCGCCTATCTACAGCAACCGTGCACTCCTAATTGATCGATCTCAAAAACACACCAAAAAAAGCTATTTTATTACTTTTTAATAAATAAATTATAATTTATTTGAATAATTTTATTATATTGTAATTGAAGAAATCAATAATTTATAAATTAATAAAATTGAATATAAAACTCAATTTTATTTAAAATTATTATAAAATATAATATGTATCTTTGAAATCTTAATATCAAAAAGTTCTTGAAAATTCGCTTATTTTTGCTATAAATTTCAATAATCTAAAATCTTAAAACTTTAAATCAAGATTTTACAATAAATAAATTCTTTAAAAATAATTCGAATAATTTTTATTAAATAATATATAAAAATGATGTAAAAATATAGATATCTTTATAATAAATATATTGTTTTTATTAAAACTATATATATTTAAATAATGAGTTTTGGTGCAAAATAGCTGTCGATCAAGTAGAAGTGCCCTAGTACTATATTTCATACCCGGTATTGACAAGGTCAAGACAAGTATTACAAGGCATTGCTGTAAATATTCAAACCTTTGGAGTGAAGTGAAATAAAAGCAGCTATAGTGCACTCAAGGAACCGGGAGCATATTTAATCATTTCAAAGTGTGGTGGCACGATGATGACTGTTGGCAATGTTGCACCGAAGCACAACACCGCGGTTGTGGAAGCATGTTGTGTCCAGATACCTAGGTAGATATCAAAATATTTTATTGACATGTAAGACTCAAAATTACTGACAATAAATGATTTCAACTGAGGCTATATCAAGGCCGGCGCCAACCCATCAGGGGGGAGGGAGAACACGGGTCATTCAACAATACAAATGAAACCCTTATTTAGCGAGAACACTTACACGCATGGAAAGAGGATAAAGCTTTCTTACAGAATTAGGATTCTGAGGCTCAGTCAAGGTGATTCGTTTCTAGCTTAACCTGTAGTTTCAAGCCAATTCCTTTCCCAGGTTACCACCGCGAAAGGTATCATTGATAAAATTGGAATAATAAGGGCAATGAAGCTTTTCGACAAGGTAAGACTAGATAAATTCACGTGAGTCAGCCCAAATCTTGGCCAAAAGCTCTTTCGTGTACCAACGTTAATCAAAAGCTCACTTTTGTGATCGAAGAATGCGGGGTGCTTTCTGGTTCTCTTGCTTTAGATTATATGGTGGTATACTACCGTATCCGATCGCTTCATGATTCTGTGTTTCTATTTCCATGTTTGAGAGTCAATTCTAGTTAATAAACGCCTTGTAGCTTTATTATATAACTCATGAAATAATTCGTAGACTAGATACATAAAGATAAGCGAATCATGAGCCCCTAAGCAATACACCTGATTTGATGACTCGTTCCCTAAAATCATACTGGACTTTCTATGTCTCTCCAGTTTTATTAAAACAGAAAATTCAAACTTCAATTATTTCTAGTTTTATTAATATATCTTCAAATTAAAGAAACTTTTTTAGAATAATTAATTCTTCAATTAGATAAACTAATATATTAATCTTTAGATGCTCTGATTTTTATTTCTAATAAAGATAGGAGGGAATAGTTAAAAAATCCGATTTTCGAGACTAAAAATCAATATGCTTCTGAGAATACTATAGACTCTAATGTTTACAGTCTCATATAGCTAAAATTTAATATAAAAATTTAACTTCTAGATATTATATCTTGATTTTACTATGATTATATTACTATGAGAAAATAGGCTAAATATGTATTGAAGAGAGTGAAAAGCTTGATTGTATTCCTATGAAAGGTTGAGGCTATTTAAGGTGCTAGAAAACTAAAAACCATATTAAAAAGGATTATAGTATTCACTCTGCTATTTAATTCATTTTAAAAAAGACTATACGCCCCTATATAGAAAATCAAATTATCCCCTGAAATTTAAGGCTAATTGCTTCGAAAATGAAACTAGCTTTCAAGCTAAGAACTGTAATATACTATTCATTTTCTAACTTTCTAGTATATTAAGATCTGAATTGTCTTTTCTACTGTATTATATTATATACGATATCCCTATCGAAACTAAATTATATATAACGTACTAATCGAAGAAAAAGGGTAGGCATAGAAAAGATAACTTATTTAAATTCAAATAGAAATATTAAAATAACCTGAATATTCTATACTATATAATAAAATCCCTAACTAACACTAAACCACTATACAATACTACTCTAGAGTCTACTAATAGTTTTCATAATATTTTCAAAACTGTAAATTTAAAATAGTATTATAAAGAATGATTATAGGTTGACTTATAATATAAATTTGAAAGATCGAATATCGTATTATTGAAAGAAGAAAGAAAGTTTGAATAAGGATTTGAAAAATGATTCAAATAAGGTCTTTAAAAAGAGATGATTCGAAAGAGATTCGAGATTTCGAAAAGTGATATTATTCAGAGATTGAAAATGAAGAAATCGAAAGGAAAAGGGATTTCGAAAAGTATCATAATCTACAAACCATTAATAAAGATATTATAGAGAATTGTTGAAAGGTGTGGTTCACGTGATCATGGAGTAGGGGGAGCTAGCCCCAATTAGTACTAGTAAGAGCTCTGTCCTATATAGAGCTCTTTCTCTCGGAAGTTGTAGAACATGCTTAGTATACTAGTCCTCCTAATGTCATCACTTTCTATCCTATGCTTCCCATCTTATTCCCTGTAGAGAGTTATACTTAAAACAAGAATTATAATATATCATATTAAAAAGAATAAAGCAATTTATAATATTTAAAAAATGTTTTCTATAGCTAATACCTTATAACTTAACTGCGAATCAAAAGGAGATTAGAAACTATATCTATTTTATTTTTATTAAGGTTATCAGAAAAGAGGCTAAATATATATTGAAGAGGGTGAAAAGCTTGATTATATTTCTATAAAAGGTTGAGGCTATTTAAGATACTAGAAAGCTAAAAACCATACTAGAGGGGGCTGTAGTATTCACTCTACTATCTTTATAATTCACTTAATAAAGCTTCTAGTGAATTTTAAAAGACAGCTTATAATTTATAATAAAATAATCAAACTATATTATTTTAAAAGAAATTTACTTTTTAAATCCAAGTTATTAAGGAAGTCAATTAGAAAGAAATTAAATTAAAAAGATTTTAATAATAAAAATATCATATAAGGTTTTATATTAGAATTAAATATAAGAATTGAATATAAGAATTGAATATAAGAATTGAATATAAGAATTGAATATAAGAATCGAATATAAGGATTGAATATAAGAATTGAATATAAGAATTGAATATAAGAATTGAATATAAGAATTGAATATAAGAATTAAAGATAAGAATTAAAGATAAGAATTAAAGATAAGAATTGAAGATAAAATTTGAATATAAAATTTAAAAGAAAACATTATGTTGGTATCACCATGGGGATGGTGAAGTAATATAGTACTAATGATTCACACTGTTGTAATATTGCTTAAGGTTCTAAAAGCTAAAGGCTACGAACGTATATACTATAGTGCGGGGGCGCTAGCGCATGCGCTAGCGCGGTCAGTCACATGATCCCTATCCCAACACATTAAAAGAAAAGTAAATGAAATTATTATATGAAATTATGAAATTTGATTAGAAAACTTATATTAGAAATTATCCGATTACAAAATATTAAATAGGTAGTATTTATAAGGGCGCACGTACCCTTTGGGCACGTGACTGGTTCTACTAGCTATTTTAGTTA